CTAGGCTTAATTGTTCTAGATTCTATCAATTACAAATACAAACTAAATATAAAGCAATGTGTTTACTTCAAGGATCACCTTTATTTCCAAGGATCCCACATAGATCCCCCAAGTATTAGATTTAAACAAACAGGGATGGCTGCATCACAGTCCCTTGCATAGGGGCCCATCTGGCCAGGAAAAAGGGTTATTTGGGCTTGTATGGAATATCTCCACAGGAGGGAGCTATAGGAGATGGGAAGGAGCAACTTTACTGATTCGCCTTAAAGTAACTTGAATATTTTGTGTTTAGCCATGTATGCCATAACAGCCATTTTGTCAGAATACCTGCAACATGTTCTCAAAGTTTAGACATTGCTTAGTGGCCCAAAGGAGGGGACTGCTGATCTATCTCTAAAATAGGAATGAATTACTAAGCACCTAGACTAGATCTTCCTAAAACCTCTTTTGAAAAGTGAGTGTCTCCAGGGATGGGTTCTATTTACCTTTACTACCGGTTCACATTGCGTGTGTGCGCGCTCTTCTGCGCATGCACAGATTACCTATGATGACATCTTGGTCAGTGGGCGGAGCCTCTCACTGGTTTTACTACCGGTTCTTGCGAACCGGGGTCAACCCACCACTGAGTGTCTCATAATGACCTGAACACCAATGCTGACCAAACTAGAGCAGTTCTAAATTATCTTCCCTTAAATATTTCTTCTGTCAAGGTAAGTATTTAGAGTTTTATCATTTTCAGTTGGAGACTCTTTTTCTGAGCATATAAAATACACACACGTGTACCTCAATGTCAGTTGGAAAACCTGCATGATGGTCACATGGAATTTCCACTGCTAAGTTGATTGTATTGTCTTGAAATGGATATAGTCTTCTCAGTTCACTTCTGCTGATGTGTGATCTTGAGTCTCCCCATGTTTTTCTGTTAGGTAAAGGTTCTGAAGTGCATCAAAGAGGTGACAAGTGAAAATGTAATCCTTGGGCAATATGTGGGCAATCCATCTGGAGAAGGAGAGGCTCAGAAGGGCTACCTTGATGACTCCACAGTTCCAGCTGGCTCTACCACCCCTACCTTTGCTGCTGCTGTGCTGTATGTGGACAATGAAAGGTGGGATGGTGAGTATAACCATACAGCAAAGAACCAGCCAAAGAAAAACACGCTTTGAACTGGGGGGAAATTGTGTGTAGTGGGCAAGTGTTCTTGTATCTCATTGCCTATTTAATTCTCTCCCTGTAGGAGTACCATTTGTCTTGCGCTGTGGCAAGGCGCTGAATGAGCGCAAGGCAGAAGTACGGCTGCAGTTCCGGGAGGTGCCAGGTGACATTTTCCAACAGCAGTGCAAACGCAATGAATTGGTGATCCGTGTGCAGCCTAATGAGGCCGTTTACACCAAGATGATGACCAAGAAACCAGGCATGTTCTTCAACCCAGAAGAATCTGAACTGGACCTCACTTATGGCAACCGCTACAAGGTACATTATTTTATCTGCCATTGAAAATACAACACAATTTTGCATTTGTAAGTGTTCAAGGTGTCTGCTATATAGAGTGTGTTAGCTGAATGTCCATGATTGCACCTATATAAAATCCTAGACTTGGCCAAATAAAGAATTCAACTACAGTAGCCAATTTATATATACAACATGTTAAGCTTTATTAGCTGATTTGGAGGGTAAGGTGGGATGGAATTGTCAGATTAGTGCATTTTATGAGCCTAGCCTGTTTTGGTTAAGTAACACTTCTGTGTAATGTTTGAACCCAGAAAATAGGGTGTTCAATAACAAAGACAGATGTGTAGTGTGAACCTGGCTAGTAAATGGGTGCATGGTTTGAATACCAAGGTAACAATATGTAGGGAGATAGGGAGGCAATGATTTAGTACTGTACAGCCCAAAATTCCAAGAAATCTATAGTTGGTTTCCCTATTTTTTAGAAAGTTAAATTACTGCTGGCATATTTTCAGACATACCTCTATCTCACACAGAGGGGTAGAAATTTAGAGCATCTTTTGTTATTGTTTTTCAGCAGACAGATCAGATTCCCAAATGCAATTACTGTGATTTTGAATGGCCATAGGAAACCCATAGTAAATTATGGTCATGTGATATGAGACACTGAAAATGGCCATAAATGCAAGCCAATTGCCAAGCAACAAAAATGTGTGTGCTTTTTTGGGGGGGAGGGGGGGCAGCCATCAGAATCTCAAATCTAGGTTGAAAGTAGCCCTGGGGAACTCTTATCATAACTTCAACTGTTGCTAAGCAACTGATCATTAGGAGTCCCTTTGTGAATCCTGGCATGTTGCAGTGACTCCTTCAGCCATGGAAGTCATCACTTGACACTGTAACATTAGATTTTAGGTATCTTATCATTGCCCTTTCATAATTAAGGTGTCCTATCTGCTTCTAAATTCTTCATTTCTAAAGCTAATTGTTAGGAATAGACCATCTTATAGCGTACAATGCTTAACATCTTATTTTTCTGTTCTTTTCCACAGGATGTGAAACTCCCAGATGCTTATGAGCGCCTTATCTTGGATGTTTTCTGTGGCAGCCAGATGCACTTTGTGCGCAGGTGAGTGGGGGGAGGGTCATCGGCACATTTAGGAGAAAAACTAAATTTTCCAAGCACTTGATAGCAGTTGACTGCTGTATTTTCCAAGCTCCTGATAGCATATTGATAGCCCCTGGTGTTTTCTTCCATGAGCTATGCATATCTATGATGTGCATAGGGCATTATGGCATAGTTCCTTTTAGTTTGAAATCTTTGAATTACAGTTACAGATTGAAGACTCAGAACTCGGTACTTAATGAAGGCCATACCTAGTCCTCTCTGGTCTGGTAACAACTCTTTTCTAGTATTTCTTTGGATTTCTACAACTCAGCCTAACCTTGCTGCCTTCTCCCTCAGTGACGAACTACGAGAGGCCTGGCGTATATTCACTCCACTGCTCCACCAAATCGAGGCAGAGAAGATAAAACCAATTTCCTATTGCTATGGCAGGTGAGGTTAGAAATGATTGAAGGGCTGTTGGGAGGGCAGCAGTGCTTCCTTTGGAAAGCAGGCTACAAAGATGACACAGTAGCCCAGACCTTTGCATGTGATCTGTTCATACACAGAAATGTCACTCCTAGCCTTTTCTGGCTTCTAGAAACAGTCTTGCTCATCCCTCACAGGACAGAGTTCTCTTTCAGCTGACATGCTGCTTTTTGCAATGGATTCACTTACCTATGCCACCAAATATCTAAGACAGCTATATTCCTACACACCTTTCAAGGTACGAGTGTTCTGCCCCAGCTACGGACCCCAAAGAACACAAAGTCTGTACAAACCTTAGTTTACTAAATTAAATCAGTTTTTTTTTCAAACAAAGGCTGTTAATTAACTTTCTTAACAGCCTACAAGAATCCAAAGAATAAATAATCGTAATCTTACTATAGTTGGCAGAAAGCCCAGAAGCAATTTGCAGAGAACTAAGATCAAGACACGAAGGAGAGTGAACTAAGTTGTTCCCTGCAAATTGCCTCAGTTGTGATCCTTCCTTAAATAGGCTAAGGGAGTGACCAATTAGCCCCAAGCCTTACTCTCGAGGAGACCTGAGGAGCCATTCCTGCCTTTTGGCAGCTCTGCGCACCCGTGCATCGAGAAGAGGCTCCTCCTCTTCTTCCTCTTCACTTATGGGAGCTTCTGGAGGTTCTGAAGGCCCTGGCTCAATCCCCGCCTCTGGCACCACATCTTCTCCAGCCTCCTCATTGTCCAACTCGAGTGCCAGCTGCACAGGCTGCTGGCGCAGCACCATACCAGCCTCCTCGCTGTCAGAATCAGCTACTAGTTGCACAGACCATTGACAGGCCACAACAACGAGGCACTCGTTTCCAGAAATGATTACACTAAGGCACATTCGTAGATCCTTGTCACATGACAAAGTTAAACAAAGGCTTGGACTCAAGGCTAGCCCACTGGTATATCAAATAAAACAATTTGACAGATAGCAAACTGCCAGGATTGCCTGGCTCCTCTGCATTCCTGTTCTCTTGGATCCTGAGAGGACTCAAGAGCTGGCTGGGGAATGGAGAGATAGATTTAGGCCAGGTAAAATGAAAAGGATTTTTAATGAGTTTCAGTCACTTCACGGAAATGAAAACAGCACGCCAGCCATTTCTGGATCATTAAAGAAACCATTACTATTTTTCTCAGCTCCTCAGGAGGTGAGAAGAGCGGCAGTACAGAATTGTAAACAGTCATTTGTTGACGTCCATGAGTATATGTAGGGCTTGCTCATAGCCGTGTTTCTAGAAATACTAATAGGTTTCTTTTAAATCTTCTAGCCGTGGCCCTACTGAGGCTGATGAATTGATGAAGAGAGTTGGATTTCAGTACGAAGGCACCTACCGGTGGGTCAATCCTCACAAGCTCTGAATCCTGTCAGCCTCTGCCTCTTGGAATGGCACCCGCAGCTCATCTCCACATCTCTCCAGAGAAACTGAGCTGGCCAGGTCGGCAGTGGCCTGTGTCCTACCCAAAGATTGTAACGTGCCCATCTTGTCTGAGGAAGCAACTCGTTGGGCTTAGGCATTCGTGCACTTCTCCAGCTGCAGTGGGATGTCTTCAGTATGAACAGCATCTTCTTCTGCTGACCTCTTGGTGGCTCTCGTGTACACTCTGTCTCTATCCCATTCCAGTTTCTGCTGCTATGCTGGGAAAGCTTCTGGAGGCATGGGAAAGCTGCAGAGGCTTTTTTGCTCACACTCCATACTCCTTCCTTATCTACGTATGCTGCTTTATTCAATTGCTTTTACTTGGAATTACTTCTTACATTCCTTTGGATTTTGTACATGATGCTGTTCTGTAAATGGAAGTTATTACAAAAACTCCCCCATTTTGTGTCTCTTGAATATGTGTGTTTAAGGCATCTTAAGCCTACTTGTAACAATGAGCTATCCTTAATCTTCACCTGTTTGGGCAACTGATTTGGGCAACTGAATCTTAGTATTGCACAACTCTGGCTGGCCTGAAGGCTATAAATAAAATACGGGAGTAAGGGGCTTGGACCTGTATAGCCAACCTAGTGTCCAATCCTCTGCTTTTCCAAACCAGGGCAAGGCAGCAGCCTCAGTCAGATAAGAGCTGGCGCACCATCTCCTGATGGAGGAAGCCATCTTTGATAACTGAACTTTCAGGCTCGGCTTCTATCCTTGAACCTCTTAGATTCCATTCCGTATTAATACATATATTAGGGAGTGACTCTCTTGAGGCTGTGATCTGAAGTTCTCAGCAGGAGTTTTGCCTTTCATCAGGTTGCCTTTCATCTGGCAAAAAACTTCTAGGATATGCTTGGTTGCTGTTCAATTCCACGAGCAAAGAGATGGATGAGACTCCCGTGTACTCTTAAGGGGAGAGAAGAGCAGAACAAGCATTTGAAGAATAAGGACTGCAGTATAATTTAAAAGCTAAAGCTGCTCTCTCTTACACCTGTTAAGAATCTTGGCTACCTTCCAGTTGATATTTTCTCTAAGCCAGGGCTCTGCACGATTGCTTTCAGATCACGCATCACATTTGGCCTTTTTAGTGGTATACTGCAATCTAAGGAGTCGATAGAGCCTGGACAGCTACTCTTATTTAAGGTGTTTGCTCTCTCTGCCCTCCTGTTAATATCCTCCTCCTGTTATCTTAAACATTGCAACCCAGTGGGCAAATCTGAGCCAGCAAGCAAGAATTCCAACTTTTTTGGAACCCCCCCCGCCCCCTCCTTTTGGGAGGTTGCTCATCAGACCAAGCCTCCAGAGCTTTTCCCCATCTACTTCCAGTGCTCTGCCATGTTACTGTTATTACTCATTTCTGCCCAACACTCTTCAATCTCATTCTGGGTTACTAGTTATTGCTGTGATCTTTTTAGGATCCCATTGTAAGAGTCCCAAATTTCATACATGTGTTTTCCATTAGTCCGAGTTGGCCAACTGTGCTCTCTCCTCACTGTGCCTTTGTGATTCAGTCCAGGAATTTTTGACCTACCCCATCAGAGGACCTACCGAATGGTGATATCAGTGTGGTTCAACGTCTCTCCATCGCAGGTCCAGCAGCTGATCAGTGGCTGTCCTTGGCATATTCCTCCACAGAATATGTTCTGTTCTTGTGCAGCTGACTGTCTTCCCTCCCAGTCTTCCTCTTTGGGGGAGGTGAAGCGAACAGCTCGAACTCGGTACACACTCACAAAGGGCAGGTCAAACTGTGGAGCACAATTGCATCTCCTGAACAAAAGCATCCCCTTGTCTCTAGAGTTTGGAAGGAGCTGTTAGAAATATCTCTGCTAATAGAGCGGAGAAGAACAATATTTGCAAGTACCTGGAACTTGGAGGTGGTGGTCAACATACTGAAATATTTAATTTGATAAAAAATAGATGGGGAGAAACTTATTAAATTTATTAATTGTAATTTAGTATGGTTTTTAATAAAAAAAAATGGAACTTTGTGGGTTTTCCTTGACCCAAGTGTGTATGCTGAGGCAAGAAGATACCGTAGAAGCAATCAAGCAATGTCTTCAGGGCACTGATATTCAAACAGTTGATGTACCTTTCCAAAAATGTATTCCTAAGTAGCCTTTACTCTCCCAGCAAATCTGCTACACATTTAAATTAAATCACAGCTGCTTCTCAACTAAGGAGGTTCTTAACCTTAGCATGATTCAGTACACTCCCTTAAGCGGTTTTAGAAGGGGAACACAAAGGGGTTCCATTTAAATCCAGATTCTGCCCATAAGTTAAAGAAACCACCAAGTGTGGCTTACTTTACTGTCAATTTTCTCTTGACACTCATACTGAACTGTTACTTCCACATCTTAATTAAATATCCTGATCACTCAATTTGGTTCTATTTAAATCTACTCTCAGATTCAAATGACACTATTTCCTTAAGCATGGTCAAATTCATTTAGGTAAAATGAACATCAGTTTGACAAATGTGTTTAGCTAATCAATATCAATTTTACGTATGCAACTATCTTTATGGACTAATCATTGACTACAATAAAGAGTCTATTTTGTTCTGTTCTATCTCTGGGGAAGGATGTCCCCAAAACTTAGCTGCCCTTGTCTTAAAAATCAAATGACATGTATTGTGGGGCAAACAACCCCATTAGAAGTTGTGAAGTCTCAATCTGGATATAGGAAATGAGCCTTCCAGGCATAAAACTAATGGCCAAAGGAATGGACAGCCTAAAATGAACAGGGAAAAATGGATGGCAGCAGCTCAAAGAAAAGGCTATCTACTATATGTGCTATCCCTTTCTGCATAACTCCACTCCAAAGTTCTACTTACGAAACAGGAAGAGCCTGGAGATTAATGTTCCAAACTTATTAATACCCCATTGCAAAACACATTTCCTAAAAGCCACGTCTTCAAGGCCATTTAAAGGATGACAGGGTTGGGGCAATTTGAATCCCAGAAGGCTAGCATCATTACCAAGAAGGCATTATGTCCCTCAGATGATACTGTTTTAAAAATGAGACCTGGAACATGCTCACTCCCAAATTTAACTGGGTGGGCAGAAGCAATGGCAATCCCTCGGGTAGCTAGATGCCATGCCAAGAACGGCTTTAAAAGTCAAAACCAGCACCTTGAATTGCACCCAGAAGTTTAGTGGTGACCAGTGCAGCTCTCACAGCAGAGGTGTTACCTGGCTCTGCCAAAGTGCACTCAAAACTACCCATGCTGATGCATTCTGGACTAGATGCAGCTTCCAAGTGGTTCAAAAGCAGTCGCAGGTAGAACACACTACAACAATACAATCACAAAGTGACCAAGGCATGTGACTACAAAAGTCTGCCACTTAGGCACAACTGCCACCTGCTGTTCCATCAGGAGCTCTAAATTGCACACTAATTATGTATGGGGAGAAGTGTTATCAGAACTAAGATGGAAATTCCTTGGTAGAGGAGAATTTGAAACACATAGGCCCGTGATGGTGAACCTATGGCACGCGTGCGGAGCCATATCTATGGGCACGTGAGCGTTGCCCTAGCTCAGCTCCAGCACGCATGCGCTGATTTTTGGGCTTTCTGGGCCCACCGGAAGTTGGAAAACAGGCCATTTCCGGCCTCCGGAGGGCCTCCAGGGTGGTGGGGAAGGCAATTTTTGCCCTCCCCAGGCTCCTAGAAAGCCTGAGGAGCTTGGGGAGGGTGAAAAACGGGATTTCTGGTCCCACCAGAAGTCGGGAAATGGGCCGTTTCCTGCCTCCGGAGGGCCTCCAGGGTGGGTGAGGAAGGCCGTTTTCGCCCTCCCCAGGCTCCTAGAAAGCCTGAGGAGCTTGGGGAGGGTGAAAAATGGGCCTACCGGGCCCAACGGGCCATCCTGTGCCAAGAGTAGGGGGGATCATGCAGGCACAGGGACAGGGCGCATTGAATTATGGTGTGGGCATGCATGTGCACAGCCCCCCTGCACTCCCCCCGCTTTTGGCACGCGACAGCAAAAAGGTTAGCCATCACTGACATAGCCACTCCATTTTGTCAGCATTGATTGTCAGTCTGTTCTTCCCCATCTAGACTGACACCTCCCCAGTAGCTTCATGTAGGTCTTAAACTAGAGGGGTGAGAGCATTGAACCCATGACACCCCATCTGCAAGGGGACTTAGGCTCAACCTCTCCCCCCATCAACACTGATGGGAACTGACCCTGAAAAAAGAACTACAGAAAAGCCATGTCTCCCACTTCTAATACTCACAGTTGGTCAAGAAAGATACCATGGCCAGTAGCACTGAAGACTGCTTAGAACTCAGGGAGAATCAGAATGATTGCATCACTACTTTGCTAGATGGATAAGGATGCTGAGTCTCCCTCAGACCTGTCTGTCCACCCACCCCTGCCAAAGCCCTCTCTCCTCAGTTGCCCTTTCCCTCAGAATATGTAGTGATTGACAATTCTACCCTCCAGTCAGCATAGGGCTAGAATAAATGCACTTATTTTATCACATGTCTCTTTGCATGGAGACATGCAGAACCATAACCATGAAGACTTAATATTCTGACATGCACCCCAAGTCTATAGGACAGCAGTAGCTCCCCCATACCTGGTCTGAGCAGTTGGTGTGCCGATTCAAATGCTGCAGGAAGGAGAAGACCGAGCATTTGTGCACCAAGATAAGGTCAGCAGTTCCATCGGCCAGGTGGGCACAAGGTGAGAGACCCTTGGGGCTCTTAGGACAGGCACTGCTCATGCAGGTCAGGTTGACTGCCAGGAAGCTACCATGAACCCGCTGCCATTCACTACCTGGAGGGGAGAAACAGGTTTATCTTGAGTATCTTCACCCAGGAAGCTCCTTAGCTACTCAGGGATCCAAGTAAGAGTGGTTATTACTAAGAGACAACAACACGTTGTTGCTACTTTTTGTCTGCTACAAGCCTTTTTCCGGGGACAAGTCCTTCTCATTTTCTGAAATTATGCTGACTAGACCTAGCAGTTCCAGTCTGAGATTGCCAAAAGCACTGGCAGAAGATATGCCTGGTATTTTATTTCTGCAGAAACTAGGGTCGCCCTCTTCTATTCCACCTCTAAGAAAGAAAGCAAAGCAGCTCAGACCGGTTGTGTTTGTGTTTGCTGCTGTTTGCAAAATAGAGGCATTGAAAAAAGAAACCGCCTGCCAGGCCCGTACTCTTTAGTTTGCTTTTCCAGGAGACCTTGAGGAAGCAAGCAGTCATTGAAGCACAAGACAGACTGCATGGCAAGTGGTCAAGAAACAGCAGACAAAGATGCCCCGTAATAACCTTTCCAAATACACTAATAGGATTTCTGTTTATCACTTCAAGCCTTCCGAATCAGTTAGTTATGTAAGCATTACAACATTATAAAACAGTTACTAAATACTATTATTAATATTAGTATTGTTCCTTGTTATATATGAGAATCCTAAATTTAGAAGACTGGAGCTTGCTTAAGATCACCCAGCAAGCTGGCAGCAAAATGAAATTAGAAAGTTGTAATTTCAACAGTCCCTTTTTTTCCCCCTTTTGACCAGCTTCAGACAAGGGAGACTACTTCCTAAATCAGATTATTTGGCCAACCTAACAAGACATGAGCTGGAAACATAATCTGACTTGTGTGTGTGTATAGCTTGCTGTTTTTAAAAAAATGCTAGTAAAAGCAGATTCTCTGAGAAGTAGTAGCTAGATTAGATATAGATTTTGTGTCTCTCATACATCCCTCAACCTGGCTTGTCAGATTTGAGGCCTCACTGCCTGTGCACCACAGAGGACTGGGGCAGCCAAATGGACTAAGATTAGATTTGAAAACTATGAAGTTTAGGCAGTGACCCAGGATGAGATGCATATTCTTGGCCCCAGACTAGCCCCAGTATGGAGGGGGTGGGGGTGGTGAGCTACAAATGCTTACTTAATTTAAAGCAGTATTTCTCAACCTCAGCAACTTTAAGATGGTTGGATCAACTCCCAGCATGCTGACTGGAGAATTCTGGGAGCCTAGTCATCTTAAAAGTTGCTATGGATGACAAACACTCACGAATGAAGGCAGATATACATGTCCCAGGATAATGTTGCAGAATCCAACCTGGGTCAGTCATCAGGACCATAGGTTTAGTCTTCCAAGCTTTCAGACCTGTGCTGGAGTCCATCCTCAGGGAACTTCTCTCTTGAGAATGGGCTCCAACATAAATGTGAAAGCTCGGAAGACTAAATGTCTGTTCCCGGTGACTGATCCAGATTGGATCCTGCATGAGAAACACTGCTTTATAGGCTTCTTGTCACAAGGATTACAGCAAATTAATTTTCAGTTATTAATTAATTTTCAAGATTAATTTACAGAAAGATTAATTTTCAGTGTCAATCCTTTGTGATTTTTTTAAAAAGTGTTTTGATGCTTTTACCTGTCTGCTTTGTGAATTCTGAAAAATGTTCTTCCTTGCTTCCACTCAGAAGGTTTTTGCTAGACTCAGAACAGACCATGCAGCTGAAAAGGAGAGCTGGTGTTATAATTTGATCATGTATTCTTCCCTACTTAGTCCTCTTAATGCATTGCAACCCAATTTTAATGATTCCTAGCCAGCTGGGAATCATGGGGTCTGTAGTCCAAAATATTAGACGAATTGGAGAAGGCCGCTCCACCCCTTTTCTACAGTTGTGTTCCTGGACTTTGTCCGTGGTTGTAAATCCCATTGTAGCAGTTTCCCATCAACGTACCCTGCCCGGCAGCGTGACTGATCCCGCGGATTGGTGTCCTCTGACTCTGCTAACTGAAATTCCACAGTGCCTTCATAGCTGCGGTTGCTTAGCACTGCTTTGGCTCCTGAAAGAGAAAATAACTGAAGGGAGTGTTTGGCCTGGGTGTGTTCACACATATACACAAGCACACACCACCACCACTCTTAGTGGAAAATTCACAGAAGGTTTAGGTTCTTTTGTTTCAAATAGCTTTCATTCTGAGTATTGTGAGCATGTTTTAAGTCAGTAGGTGTTGAAAGGTGAAAGGTACAGAAAATAAAATAATTTGTAGTATCGTGTGTGAATGGTTTTGCAAGAATCAGGCAACTGACACAGCAATCACAGCTGTTGTTGCAATAAACAGTTTTTGTGCCTTTTCAAAAAGACTGAGATGGGGGGAACTAAAGTTATATCATATTTGACAGTGAGATATAGAGTAAATAAATAAAAATAAGTGATCATGTTTTTTCCTTGATACACCACTACTCAAATAGCATCGTGCGTATTTCAAAAATACTTCAGTCATTCCTGAAAACTGGAATTTAAAACTGTCTGGGCACAGAGGAGTACTCTCTTACTAGGCCCCTTGAACCTGTATTTCTTTCAAGCCCATCAAAAAGAATTTCATTTTTATGAGTCTTCGTTTTCCTTCCCCTCTCCCATCTCCCCTTATCTAGTTGGTTTCTTCTTCTGCCGAACGGTACCTGCAAAGGTGTAGCGTGCTGGCCCCATCCAACGGTGCTTCTCACTGGTGCTCACTACATCGCCGTAGAAACCGTAACCAGCCAGGGAGACAGAGTAACGCAAAAGCATCCCATCATGCCAAATGCTGCAGACATCCAGAGGCTGGCTGTCCCCTGGGAAGGAAAGAAAGGCATGGAAAAGAGATCAGAAGGAAAACACCCCACTCTCTCACTCCATTTTAGGTATGGGGCTGGGAATCCCCAAGGAAGCCAATGCTTCTGTTCTCAATCCCAAATAGCTAGCCCCACTCTGAAGTGACCCAAGCAGCCATCCAAAGGTTTTTTTTTATTTCAAGGGTCTGACCAGTGATGAATCAGAGACCATTTTCATGCTCGTCCTACAGATGCTTTACTTCCAAACCTGGCTTTCCAAAATTCCCTACTCAGGGCAGTTTTAAGGACCATACTCTCAACAGCCACAGATGGATAGTGCGTGCTGGCTAAGCACCTATAATGATGTGCAGAGCAGAGGTGATGGGGTCATTTGTTCCCACGGTTGCAAAGCAGATACAATCTGTAGAACCTGGAGTAGACACAGAACACATCCTATCACTCGACTTGCTGGGAAATAGCTCAGAAGGCTGTCTGCTTCCCACCCAGACCCTTGGATTAAAGTCATTATTTCCCAACTCTTTAAAAAAGTCTCATGTCTTAGTTTTGGGGAGTTACTGGCCTTACCTGCAGGAATGATGCCAATGCGAAGTCTTGGGGACAGAAGCTCCGTATCCCAGTCCTCTTGGAGCTTCCCTGCCTTCTGCTGGGTTCGGTCAATTAAGGCATGCATCACTTCATTGAATGTGCCGTCACCTCCCACACTTACCAGCCTGGAATGGGATGGAGGTAATAAGCTAAGTTACAGGTAGTTCTCAACGTCCAACTGTAATTGAGCCTGATAATTAGGCTTGTAAGTCATGATGGTCATAAAGCAGATCACTACATGATTGGACCCAACTTTACAACCTTTTTTGTGGCAGTTAAGTAAGCATCACAGTTGTTAAGAGAACCAATTGTTCACTATGGGCTGGTTTTTGCCAGAAATAAACATTGGTTTCTGGCAAAAAGCTAAATCACGGTCAAGTGACCATGGGATAGTTGCCAGGAGCCCAAAATGTGGATATGTGACTGTAAGGGAGGGGAGGCAGCGTCAGAACTTCAAAACTGGTCACACATAAGCCTTCCAGGTATCCATTGTACCTTTGAACAGTTGCTAAGCAACTGATCATAATTTGAGGACTACCTATAGTCAGCATGTGACACAACTGTCTTTATGGACCCCTTCTAAGCAAATGATGGGGATTCTCCCATTTCCATGAGTGGCAAGGACACCGCTGTGCCTGTTTACATAATGTTGAATGGCATGGAGCAAAAATGTCCAATGGAGTTGCTCATGACCCCTTAATACTGTGAGTAGAATTAAATGGTGGAAGCTACTTGTCTGTGTGTGAAAAGCTCTGATGGGGAACAGCATTCAGCCAAACCAGCTCTCAGATATTTTATTTTTCTACAATGTATTCTTCTTTACTTCCTCTTACTTACACTATTTTATCTTCTTTCTGCTGCATGAGCTGCATTAGCTTACAGTGCTGGCTGCGATTCACCCAGGGGTGGGTTCTAAATTTTTTTACTACCGGTTCTGTGGGCGTGGCTTATTTTGTGGGCGTGGCTTGATGGTCATGTGACAATTCTTTAGGATTTAGCAGAGGTACTGGTCTACCAGGCCTTTCACCACTTGCAGAGCTGTACCGGTCTATTCATGTATTTTTTTCAGGCACCGGTCTACTGATTTGTTTTTGGAGGCACCGGTCTACCACCAAACTGCCTTTTACCACTGATCAGCTGTAGGGCAGCCCTTTGAAGCCCCGCAGCAAGAGTTTAAACAGTTTTTTGCCTTACAGCCCATCAGCTGGGACTCAGGAGACAACAATAGATTGGAGGTGGGGCCAAATAAAAGGTAAGAATAATGCGGGGGGGTGGCGGGGGGGATGGGGGTGGCAGAACCGGTTCGGTGACATCATATCGTCACTACTGGCTCGGCGGAACCGGGAGGAACCGGGAGGAACCCACCACTGGATTCACGGTGTTGGTTAGCAACTTCCTATAACTTGGTTATTTGTGGGACTGCTTCTCCCTGAGAGTATCTGCCTGTCCGGTCAGATCAGATAGGATAGGCATCCTCCAGGTCCCTTCCCTGAAATGCTGCATTCTACCGGGACCTCAGAAGCATGTCTTTTCCATAGCTGCTCCTACTTTATGGAATACTTTCCCTCCTGGTTATTCAGCAGGCCCCCGCTATTTGAGCTTTCCAAAAGCCCATTAAGACCTTTTTTACCCAGGTACAGTGATTGTATCTTGATTGTTGGGGCCCACCAAGGACCCTTTGGTTTTGTTTTTACAGTTTTATGATATTTAAAATATACTTCTGGGGTTTTGTTAGCCCAGAATGCCTTATAAGATGGGAGGCAATATGCTCCCCTTTCAAGATGGCTGCTGTACAGTCAGAGATTCTTTTTTCTCTTACAAATGATCTGCTGATTTCACTGCTAAAGGTGGTTCTTTGGCAGTGCTGCTCCCTAGTTTTGAATGGGAGCACTTAGGAGTGACCCAAGATGACTTTTGGACAACTGTGGATCCAGTGGATAAGGGGGAGGGTCTTGTAGATTCAATCGAAAAGTCATTGGGCGTATCCATCTTCCTGTCAAGGAGTTTTGTTTTCTAATCATGCCAGAATTTTAACTTTCACTTTTTTATTTCACTGTTTTATTTTGCTCATTGTTTTAAAAGTTGATTTAACAGTGGGTGCTGATTTATCTCAATCCCTTGCTGGACTCTAATTGCTTTTTCCTTTCCTTTTCTTTTGATATGTTGTTTTGGACAATCATGGACCTTCTGTATGGAAATCGTGTTCCTTCCATATTGAATTTGAAAAACAGAATAAATAAAATGGAATTTATTTCCACTGAATTTTTCTTATAATCTTGGATTGAAACATAGAGGCAAACATACTTTTTTTTGTTCTTTGTTTCCTGGCTAAATTTCACAGATTAAGATGGCTCTGAAATCTAAGAAAGGAAAATGGGGAGATGTGCAACTTCTAGCTGAGTTCATCTCTCAAAAAATTGATCAAACTTTAATGTTTGTTAAAAGAATGTTAAGATCTGAAGCTTTATCTCTGGATGTGGATGAAGGTACACAAAAGGACTTTGATCCAGTTCCAGATCAAAGAGATAATTTCGCAGCTGGAGAACCAGCAAAGTAGATTTCATCTGTAAATCTGCACATTCTTTCAATATTATGGCTTTGACTAAGAAGGAAAGAGACAGATTCCAGACCTCTGCGAAGTCTGAGGGAGACTGGATGGATTACAGTTAATTGGCAATTACTTCTGCTTGCACTTTGATCGGAAAATAGACCTATTTTGGAAACTGGTTTTACTATATTTAATTAAACAGCAATTGACTAGAGAAGATATTAAGAAACAAACATGGATATTTGACCTAGGATGATTTGTTTATAACTTTTGAGTTATTTGGGACAGATAAGATGCTGTGGTAAATTTTCTAAGAGTGGATTACAATAACCGCCTGTCAACAAGTTGCAAATAGATTTAGTAGGTTAAAAATTTTTGGAGGGCTTGTTTCGCAAGAGGTGGGAATTAATGTTGTAGTAATATATTAATCATTATTCAACTAGAGGGGATAATATGTATATAATGTTTTGCTTTATGCTCCTTTTTAATGTTTTGTTTTGTGTTGTTTTTTTCCTTTTGTCCTTTTGGATTTTTTTGAGTTCTGTATTTTGTATTTTAATCTTGCTTTGAATAAAATAAAAACAGATAAAAAAGAGATGGGAGCCAATACAAATCTTTTAAATAAATAAAATAAAAATGTATATATTTAATACCTTTTGGTAACATTCTTCAGAATTTTTTTAAAAATTTAATTTGCAAAGGCGGCCAGAAACATTGTTTTTAAAGCCATTTAGAAACGAGATCTAAATCAAATGTCTAATGTTCACAACATCTTGCCATTTTTCTAACTATAGTATTGTTTTAAAAAGTTTAGCCTAATTATGGTAGAATCAAGTATTTAATCTGGTTTCGTAAAGTCTATGGGCAGGGCCGGATTTAGATGAAAAGAGGCCCTAGGCTATTCCACTTATGAGGCCCTTTCACCTATAGTGAAAGTGTAATTTTAATTTTGCTAACAATTTGAATGTAGGCCCCTCTTGATCTTGAGGCCCTAGGCTGAAGCCTAGTTAGCCTATAGGAAAATCCGGCCCTGTCTATGGGGATTCTCAGTCATCCAGGCCATGGTTGTCTCAAAGGTGTTTTTTAAAAAGGCTGACTGTTTTTTCTTTGAGGAAGATGTTTTGCTTCTCATCTTCAGATCTGGCTTAAGTTTTATCATCTGGTTGTGAATGTGAGAGATCGTGCCTATGGAGGGGAAGGTGATGTGATGGACTACAGTGGAGCACCAATTTCCCAGAAAGGATGGAGCCCATCTCTAGCCTCCCACCGGCCAGTACGCTCCCACAGAGAGGGGCTCCTCCGGGTGCCGTCGGTCAAACAATGTCGACTGGCGACCCCCAGGGGACGAACTGCCCCCCGGGATACGGAGGATTCCCGACTTGCGCACCTTTCGCCGTGCCCTCAAAACGTTTTTATTCCAACAAGCCAGGCTGGCCTAATTTTTTAACTTTTTAAATTTTTTAAAATTTTTAAATGGGTGTTTTATTTGAATAGCTGGGCCAAATTATTTAATATGCTTTTAAATCGTTTTTAAATTTTATATTTGTGTGCTTTTACTTTTGGCTGTACACCGGCCTGAGTCCTTCGGGAGAAGGGCAGTATATAAATTGGAATAATAAATAAATAAATAAATAAATTCCAAGGAGTGGAGTAAGGCAAGAGTTATCACAACCTGGAGCTGGATAGGAGGCAGAGGAAGAGGGCTAAGATAGTCACTTCTCAGAATCTCCCAGGGGATATCCACTAGGGTGAGAGAAGTAAGGGTTTAGTCTGGCAAGAGTCTGTTTATTGTATATAAACAAATAAGGAACTGAACCCTGGCTGGATTGTTCTACCTCGTCCTTGGGCTAAGCCTGACAGTGAATGAATTAATCAATTACAGCATTTGGAATTAGTTAGTTTTCTCCAGGGTTGGACTGGCAGACAAACTTGGAAAAAAAACAGATTGGTTTCCTCCCTTTTTTGCATTCAAGTCATTGAAAAATGTTCTTGCTTTGCAGCCATTGTTTTGTGGGATTCTTAATGTCTGCTTGGAGCAGATCATTTGCTTGTCAAAGAATAGTTTTTGCCAATTTGGTGCTCGCTAAATGTAATCCCATGCTGAAGGGTACAGCATATTGCAGTTCTAGGAGAAATGGAGGGCAACTGTTTGGGGAAGATGCCAGGATTGAACTGATTGGATAGTTCAGATTGAACTACTAGAGGCACAAATTTCCTCAGATGCAGGCAAACTAAGACAAAAATACTTACCCATCAAAGCCATAGAGATCTTGCTGTAGGATGTAATCACGAGCCTCATTCGCACGGCAGGTCTCTGAGGAGATGGTGACAGGAAGAAAGCAGGAGATTGTTTAATAGGAGCCATGGTGGTACAGTTAGAATGCAATATTGCAAGCTAACTTGGCCCATTGCCAGGAGTTTGATCCTGACCAGCTCAAGATTGACTCTGCCTTCCATCCTTCCAAGGTTAGTAAAATGATAACCCGGATTGTTGGGGGCAATATGCTGATATTTGTAAACTACTTAGATAGTGCTATAAAGCACTATGGAGCAGTATATAAGTCTAAGCGCTATTGCTATTGCTATGTGGTTTGCTATTACAAGACTCAGACAAAGGATGGAGCAACAGGAAAGCTGGAAACTATTGGAGATAAAAGAAGTCCACAATGAGAAGGAAAGAGGGAGTGGTGGAGGAAGATAATGGGACTCACCCACAATTTGAGTATGGATCCCAGCCAGGGCAAACAATGGAGCCACTTGACTTTGATAGATCTCCGTTGCTCGCTTACGTCCACCAACTGGATTGATGAAGACAAGAAGACTCTTGGGCCGTGTAACACCTGGAGCAGAAGGAAAGGAAATATAAAGGGCTGCAGGATGAGATCAAAGTACCATCTAGTCCAGCATTTGGATTCTCTCAGTAGTCAATCAACACCTCAAGAGTGCATGAAGAAAGAGCTCTCTCTTTGTTCCCTTATAATTTGTATTCACAAAAACTCTGCTGCAGAACAAGGAAGATCGAACTAACTGTCATTTTGTGTCCTTCAAGTTGCTGATTTTGCTTGGCAACATGTAGAAGTGACTTGCTATTGCTTTCTTTCAAAATCTAGCCTTCAATCCTGGTATTTGTGGGAGTCTCCCATCCACCTACCGTATTAACCTGGCTCAACCTGATTTAGCTTCCCAGCCTGAAAGAGGTCAGGCAATTGCCTTTTGCAGGGTAAGACTTCATTCAACACGAACTCAAAACTTATTTTCCATGACATTCAAAAGAGAAAAAAAAATACAGATGGCCTTTGAGCACACATTGTACAAAGTACCTTTCCCTTACTACTGACTAAGAGCAGTTAATTTCATCTCTTGATCTAATCTAGCAGGGCTGACATTGCCCTACTTGCAATTAAGAGAGGTTCCCTGGTTCCTTTCTTGGAAGCCATATCCTACCCACTTATACGCAGCCTGTTATTGCATGGCAGCCACACTTAAGAAGGCCAGGAAGACTTCAGCTAGGCTAGGAACTGACCATGATAATAAATCCAGGCCTGAAGGGCACTGACCCAGCGTGTTGCTAGCTGAGATGTGGATGGGGCAGTGAACTCCAGCACCCCAAGGTTCCAATACTCTCCTTTTTCCCGCTGTATAAAAAAAACTAAAAAGAAAGAAAGGGAGGGGAACAGAACATTAGAGTGGTTGTTAGAGGATTTATGAGTAAGATCAGATTGAGCGATTGCTCAGGACATCATTAATTTACTTTTGCATGTGAAATTATGCACCTTTATTTACACATACATGCAAATATCTCAAAAAATCGTATTATTATTTTCTCAGATCTATATCCTGCCTTTTCACCAGGAGCTCAAAGTGGCATACAAAGCACTCATCAAATCAAATCAAAACTTTATTACAATCATAGACCAGCATATTCAAAACTGGGTTGCAAAAAGTCCAAAGTCACCCAGCAAACTTCAGGTTACACTGGATCTAATTCTGAATTCCTACTCCTTGAGTTTCCTGGTTACGCTTCAGGGAAAGATGATGATGACTGCATTAGCTGAGTTCATTTAACTCTTAAGACCAGACTAACCAGTCACAATTGGTGTGTTCATATAATACACTGTGTCCCCAAAGAGAAACTGTATTGTAGCTCAATGTGATGACCTGCTTCATACAACGCACTAAATATAACTGGATTCCCATAACAGATTGTGGCTTCAAAATCCAAGGCTGAGAAACAGATGGTAAAAAAAACAACACCTTAATTCAGCCTTGTCCTTGACTCTTTTGTCACAAAGCCTGTAAACCTAGCTTAGTGTGTCTACACTAGAGAAATGCAACTTTGGATCTGGCCTCCATAGTATAAGCACTTTTTGTTGTCTCTCCACTCTTCTCATGCAGTCAATCAAAGTAATAAGAAACAACATGACTTATTTAAAAGAATTGCTCTGAACAAAAATGGACTCCCCTGACAGATGTTTCAATCACTCTCAGCATGCAACCAAAGTTGTAGCCCACCTACCCCAGATTTCATTTCTACTTGATTTTTGTGACCCTCTCTAAACCTGGATCCATCTTACTCACCTGTGAAAGAGTTTTCATCCCTAGTAGATTCCAAAATCTCCTTTCTGTTACTGGCTGTTCCAAGCTTCACAGAAACCATCTCCTGGATGGGAATGCAGAATCCTTGGTCTGGAAAGGAGAGAAGACAGTTGCTTTGCTAATCTTTATTTGTGGAATTTCTGTCCTGTCTTTCTGCTTCTTTCAACAGCTGTGAGTGTGGGTTTGGTGTGTGCATGCAATATTAATACAATCAAAGTCAGAAATAAAATTAAACATTTACAGCTTGGCAGCAGAGATGATAATAATTCTCAGAAGATAAAAACTTGCTTTAGTCTGAGGCCAGGGACTTACAGATCAAAATCCATGTATTTGTCTTTTCTCCTTGACCTGCTACCACAGTGGAGAGCTTTTCAATAGCACACCGTCACTAAAATTGTCACAATCTGTCATTCAACTGCTCACTCTTGAGTGCTGTCTGGCTGGCACTTCATATAAAAGCATTACTTGGGGGAGAACCCATTATTTTCATCAAGGTTCAGAAAATATTTGTCAGTAGGAAAGCTAACATTCAGAGCTCAGGTTTTTTGGGGGGTTTAAGGGGACTTAAAGAACCCTGAGGGATTCTTTTATCAATTTTCTTGCTCATTCTCCTTCCTCGTGGTTACCATTTGCACCTCCTAAAAGGAGAAGACTAGATGCTTGGAGATTATTGCTCATTTGTTTTGTCATATACCCAGTAAGTTCAGGGAAAGAAAGCCATGGAACCAGGGGGCTCCAGGGTCTGGTGATAAGATCATTACAGAATTGCAGATCTCACCAAGAACCTAACCAAGTTGATCCAAGGACTTCAAAAGTTCAGAAGTGTAACTCCTACCCTTGCCTTATATCCAGAGATTTAATCCCTTTACAAGGGATCTTGAAGAAGCTAAAACCTTAAGAGTTGAAATCTAGCAATCCTTTGTATTAATTTCCTCTGTTTGGGTGACAGGAATTTCATAAATGGAATGGAGATGTCTCATAAAACTGGAACCACTACTAGTGGTCCATTCTTATCACAGAATGATTCTGATTCTCTGCTGCCACATATTTTATTACTATTTTGAGAGCCCCAATTACACCTGCAGTACTTCTGCTCCGTGTCAAACAAAAAAAAAGTACTAATTCACAATAAAGTGGTCTAAGTGCCAAACTTTCACAAAATGCACATCACTTCTGTCAGAAAGAAAGCTATTTCTACCAAAGGTTGCCGTGTATGGAGTGCCTTTTCCCCAAACTCCTCCTTCTTTTCTCCTTTTTTGCAACTGATTCCATATTACAGAAAATAAGATAACTGACAATGCCATTTCTAAGAGTTTAAATTCTCTCCTTCCGGCAGTTGGCCAAGTGAATGAAAATTCTGGTCAGGCCAGTAATCTGCTTTTAACTCAATGCCTATCAGGCATAAAACCAGCCGGATTTTCCCAGACCATTAAAACTACTATGGCTTGACCCAGAGGGGCTTCAACTTGAAAAACCCGTTTTGGGATCCAAATGTGTTTGCTGGAAGGAAACTGCTGTGATGGAAACTGCAAAGTATGTTCTACGTCTTCTTCGTGAAATCCAACCTCTGTCGTCAGTTGGTAAAAAAAAACTTGAAACTCATCTCTTCCATCTCCTCTCTTTCCCCTCCTCTGCACCTGGCACTGGTGTCAGCCTCAGGGGACGTACTTGCAAACACAACAAGCTTTGAGTCAACTTGGACCCAGGCCAGGAAACCTTGGGTATAGGTGGTTCCTCTTGACAATACTTTTGTCATTATTTTCTGCAAAAAGACTGAGCAAAGGACAAGAAGCAAGAGTCAGAAGCCTCTTGGCCTCATAGCCAAGATGAGCTGAAAGAAAGTTGTGATAACTATTAACATGTTGTTTTTAAAATAAAATTATGAGCAAATTCATGACTTAGGGCTCTGAATAGGGAATTAACAAAAAGGCTGTTCCATGCACTCCCAATACATCTTGTTTATAGGAAGCTGCAGCCCAAAATCTGTATCTTTAAGCATCCATCTTGTGTTTTTTCTAAACCTCCCAAGAACATGCTGTGAGGTTCTTCTCCATTTGAAGGATCTCCTCCTCTGTCTATCTTTGTTCTAGTTAAAAGACAAGCATATAGTAAATGATTACTTATGTATTTTACTTTTTTGGGGGAAATACTTTATCCAAGTTCATGTGAGCTTATTCTCTTGCTTGAAATACAATATTTCATAGTATTTTCCTTTCTTTTTATTAAAATACCATTCTATTAAGGCTAAAAGAATCTTCTGGGGTATATAATTATAAATGACTTCACATTCACACAATCATGTTATTGACACACTTCTATATTGAGGCTTTTAAAATAATTGTATACTAAACTATCCAAGATATACACTCGACAGTTAAGATGCCAACTAAGCTTTCCTTTCAAAGAGCTGATATAACACACTCCCATATTTGAGTTTTATAATTTTCTAGCCTTCTACTTTACTTTGTGATTAATATCTCATATTTGACAGAAAATCATGAAATTTTGGATAACACCGTTTTCATTTCAAAATTTAAAATATTCTTAGGTGAAGTATCTTTGTCATTTTTTAGATATAAGTGAAACTAAAATTCTCAGTTTCAGGAATATCTGTACATTGTTACCTTCACAAATGTCAAGCCAGCTAGAAAATACAGGAGGAAAAAGACGGAAGATACTAATCCATCAACAAACACATCATCTCAAGCATGAGTAGAAAATAATATATTGCCTGCAAAGTGAAAGTGTTCCAGATAGTGCTGAGTACTTACAGTTCCAGTAGAACACAAAAATGATTTTATGGCTTTAACCATATTGACATATTGTTTTATTGATTTAGTGTCATCCAATGCCAGGTAAAACATAAACCAGGAACATGGGTTGTCCTTAGTCAAGGTAGCTGCTAGTTTTATCTTCCTCAGAATGCAACTTTGTCTTGGACTCTTAGACTTGGCCTGAATAACAGAACAGAGTGGAAGGGACCTTGGAGGTCTTCTAGTCCAATCCTCTGCTCAAGCAGAGGCCTATATCATTTCAGACAAATGGCTGTCCATTCTTTTCTTAAAAGCCTCCAGTGGTGGATCATTCACAACTTCTGAAGGCAACCCGTTCCACTAGTTAATTGTTCTCACTATTAGGAAATTCCTCCTTAGTTCTAGATTCTAGGAGAAACTTCCTAACAGTGAGGACAATTAACCAGTGGAACAGCTTGCCTTCAGAAATCATGGGTGCGCCATCACTGGAGGTCTTTAAGAACAGACTAGACAGTCACTTATCTGAAATGGTATAGGTTCTCCTGCTTGAGCAGGTGGCTGGACTAGAAGACCTCCAAAACAGGGGTGAAATTCAGCAGGTTCTGACAAATTCTGGAGAACCGGTAGCAGAAATTTTGAGTAGTTCGGAGAACCGGCAAATACCACCTCTGGCTAGCCCCAGAGTAGGGTGGGAATGGATATTTTGCAGTATCCTTCCCCTGCCATGCCCACCAAGCCACACCACACCCACCAAGCCACGCCCACATAACCAGTACTAAAAAAATTTGAATTCCACCACTGCTCCAAAGTCCTTTCCAGCTCTACTCTACTCTACTCTACTCTACTCTACTCTACTCTACTCTACTCTACTCTACTCTACTCTACTCTACTCTACTCTACTGCTTCTCTCCTTGATTAGTTTCCATCCATTGCTTCTTGTCTTGCCTTCCGGTGCTTTGGAAAATAGGTTCAACTGCCTCTTCTTTGCGGAAGCCCCTCAAACCCGTTTACTTCAGTGATGTTGTACACCTAATTCATTACTATTTTCCTCCAACTTGTTGTGCAACTGGTGTTTCCTCTGTCGCTATGTGTTACTCATACACCACTACTGGCAGATATGTAATCTGCTGAGTACAGGCTGGAGCATCTGAGAGAAGGATGGCGAAATCTTATAGTTGTGATCTATGGAGACCTCGCAGAACTTGTAGGTCATTTTAAAGAGGGACAGTGTTGAAGTTCGGGAGGGGAGGATAAATTGAGAAACATGGTCCTGCAAAGTTTGTGGCTCTTTAGAGAAAATAGGTAGAACATCCTTAAATGATTCTTGTCTAAGAATAAATATTAGTTACTGCATGGTACAAATGCAAATACAAATTGCAAATGTCCTAAAAATAATGTGTTTTTCCCAGCAAGGAGCAAACCACTTCCTTCTTCAAGGTAAATAAAATTTGAACTTTCCTTAAAGAGTATTGCCTACTCTAATCAGATCCCATTTTTCTAACAAATCAGAATCAATATTTTCTTTACCTATTTTTTTTCATTTGATGTCAAGTCCTTTGAAGTTCAGGAAATGAAAACTCTTTGGATTTCTGGAATGAGCTTTATTGCTATTAGGATAATGTAATAAAATCTTGAAAGCATCCTACAGCAATTCTCCAGATCAGCAGTCACCAACCGGTGGTCCAGGGACCATTGTTGGTCTGTGAGAAAATTTTGATGGTCCGCAGAAAAATTATTTGCATTTTTTTATATTGCACTAAATACTATTTATCTTTTTTAAAAATTCATATTAGTGGTCCACGGGATTTAAAATTATGAATTCAATGGTCCCTGAGGTCCGAAAGGTTGGTGACCCCTGCTCCAGATCAGCTTGTACCTAGCATGATTAAAGTGGAATTGCCCTGAGCCTCTTTCTCATATTTCTCTCCTCTAATGAACTACGGATTTTTTTTCTTTAATGGTCCAATTCTCTACTGTCTTGCTCCATCTTCTATGTTCCCAGGATCTGTTAGATATTCCATCTCATTTGAAGACACAATTATTCAAATAAGAATTATCCAGAATTCCATAAAAGAATCAAATATCACAATTAATATACAAGGTTATGAGAACTAGAAATAAAATACCCAGGCTTGATAATATAATACTCTATGTATTATAATACATAGAGTATTATATATACTGTAGTATGATAATATAATACTACTGCAAAAGCAGTTGAAATAGTAATTGACTGCAAATAACATATGAATCCTCAGCATTGTATAGTTGCAAAAAAGATGATCAAAGTTTTAGGCTGCATCAAAAAGGTGCAGTTTTTGAATCATGCAAATTCTACTTTATTCTCTGTTAGTCAATCCATTATTAAGTACTATGTCCAGTTCTGGGCAGCTTGACTAGAACCTCAGAGAGCAATGAGGATGATTTGGAGGCTAGAAAGCTAAATACTATGGAGATCAAATAGAAAGAGTTGGGAATGTTTCATTTAAGCACTCTTCAAAGGATATCACTGTATCCTTTGAGTTACTTTAATTTAGATTCCTGCACTAAACTCTGTGTGTGTGTGTGTGTGTGTGTGTGTACATGATGATCTAAAAGGTACCTCTCAATTAAAGGTATTATATCAACCATGATTTTTCTATTGCTTAGCATTTAAAAATTATAGAAATGAATGGTAAAGTAAAATTAATATTTTTCAAAAGCCACATGTTGAATTTCCAAGAACTCTCTGAAATAACCAAACATCTCCACATAAAATTAGATGATAATGTACCAGTAACATTGAATTTTTTCCATCCTTAAGTTCAGGTTAACTTCAGTCCTGCCTTATACAGCTCTTTTGAGGCGAAGCAAAATTCCTCATCAATTTAATATCATTTTGTTAAAAGTGGAGGGGGAAAAGTGGAGGGTACAGGGCATTTCAGTTTAAAGGAAATTCTAATTTCTTACTGGAGGGCCAGGAGGGCAGTTATACTGAGAAGCTTCGGCTGCTTCTCATTAGATATGCTAAATTATCTTTGTTTATTACTGAAGGCTGTCCTTTTTACTCTAGAAGTGGAGAAATACTAGTGCCAGGAGGCTGGGATGACCCTTAGCACTGGCCAGTCTGTAATAATCTGGAGTGGCAACTTTTGCAAAGACTGCCTTGCATTCTTCCTTATTATATGAGAACAAAGCTGTTACAAAGGCACAAAAACAGGGGAAAGAAAAAAGCCTGCAAACCTGGCCACCCTCCCATGTTCTGCCAACCATGGATATGAAGGCATCTGAAATCTTTAAATAGACCACATAAAATCCTAAGTATGATTATTCCCATCTTCCTCTGAAATGAAAAGGACCACAAAGAGACATCTACTGAATTGTGGGGGGAAAGCAGATAGAGACACACATAGATGGCTCAACCAGATTTATTCCTCTATAAAATGTAAGCTGGGGCAGAGTCTTTCCTCTTGGGCCCCACTGAAATTAAATTACGCCTTACTGAGCATTATAAGGTCAGGCAGATTTGCTTTTTTTCAGAGGCACTTATTCACAGATAGAGCTAAGAGAGGATGTTGTTGCTCAGACCAAAGTCTACTCATAATGGTAGTTTACTTTTGGTCAAAGACTAAAGCAACCCGTATTCCCCCACCCCTTTGAGTTCACATTCCCTCTATGTTCTGCCAAGATAATCATTACCTGCAGGAAGGAAACTATTTCAGAGCTGAGTGGATATTTTTACCTTGTTTATCTGCTAAGTTAGGGAAAATATTAACCAAGACTGAGCATTTTAGGGTACAGTCATTAGCTAGGAACAGGTACTACAATTAACAATGCTAATGAGTATTCATAGTTCAAGCGGCCCCTCCCTCTCAGTCAATGGGTACCAGTTTCCCCTTACTATGACAAAGGGACAATTAAAAGCAAGGAGGTCCAAAGCAGACATTCAGTTTGAGGGAGGCTGCCTCAACTTTGTTTCTGCCAGATGTTTGGATTACAATTCAATTAATTCCCACCCATAGTAAGAATTAACATCTTAGTAGAACATAATGGGATACTTTACATTTTGTTTGTTAATGCTCAAAGTGAGTAGAAAAATGCTCTAACATTTTCTAATTCACATTCTGGTAGAAGAAAAAAAAAATCTGCCTTCAGAAAAAAATGATTTTTCTACATTCTGAAGAACATTTCCCGATTCATTACCGTTTAAAGTGTCAATCCAACTCCTAGGAAAGTCTACACTAATTGGCCTGGTTTATTTATTTATTTTTATTATTTATTTTTGCCAAATGCACCAATAAAAATATTCACCAGTCTTATTGTTATAAATATATATTGATATATATCTTTATATATCTATATATCTATATCTTTAGATAGATGATAAATAGATAGATAGATAGATAGATAGATAGATAGATAGATAGATAGATTGATAGATAGATAGATAGATAGATAGATAGACAGACATATATATATAAAGATACATTTATATATAAAGATATATATTGATTTATTTCTGCTTTGTGTTAGGTCAGGAGTCTATGTGCTGTGTTTACAGCAAGATAATAATTGGGACTAATGGCCTTTATGTCTTCAGAGATGGCGGAATTATACCAATGGTGAAATCCAAATTTTTTTACTACCAGTTCTGTGGACGTGGCTTGGTGGGCATGGCAGGAAAAAGATACTGCAAAATCACCATTCCCACCCCACTCCAGCGGAAGGATACAGCAAAACCTCCATTCCCACCCCTCTCTAGGGCCAGCCAGAGGTGGTATTTGCCAGTTCTCCGAACTACTCAAAATTTCTGCTACTGGTTTTCCGAACTGCTCAAAATTTCCGGTATCGGTTCTCCAGAACCTGTCAGAACCTGCTGGATTTCACCCCTGAATTATACTGTTATTCTTTCTCCCTGAACGCTAGGTGTCATTAAAGCCAAGTATTGATTAATGTCTTTGAGAAGGATTTTAAAATGTAAACCTTGATGAAATAGACTAATGGCCTAATTTAAAAATTTTCCTTTTCTGCTTTTAATCTGAGTATGTATCAGTTTCAGTTGGTTGTAACAAGACAATGCCTGACTCTGAATGTTAGTTTCTAAAATATTGTTTACAAATAGCTATAGATACTTCTTCAAGTAGTATATAAAGCTGCAATACTGGATTTCAAATATTTTCCTTGTGTAAGTTTTTTCCTATCATGTTAAACTTCCAAGAAAACTACTTCCATACTGCAGACAATTCAGATGCATTCATCTCCCTAAGGTCTGCTGGATCTCATTGTTATTGTGCATCTGGGTATGGTAAAAAAATCAAAATGGCAGCTTCAATGGTGCAACTGAAGCCTTGCTTGTTGTTGTTTTTTAATGTGCACTGCATATGCAACATATTTTTAAAAGAGGCAGAATTTTGATTGTACTGTTGCAACTGCCATCGTCACTTTTTTTATGACACCTAACGCCCCTGCCTACATCCTTTGCAAGTGAATCATGCAGTGTAACTAAGTCTTCCTGAAATCTTTCTCTTGCAGGGAGTAATCATTGTAGTATGCAAGCTTGTCTGTCGCTAATAAGCTACGGTATTCTTTTGTGAAACCCAAAACAGAGCAAGTGCTAAAATTGATTGGATAAAAACACAGTTTGTACCGACAGCAGCTGAATGAACTGATTGAATCAACTATGGAATTTAGAAACAAAGGTCATATTAAAAGGGATGGCTCATAGCCTTCTCAAGGCCATGGAAGAAAGGGATTGTAGTTCCAAAAAACAGTATCTGCAAGTATGTCTAAGATCAGTCTCTCAGTCTTCCAGAAGCACATTTTAAGTAGGATGGAAGCCTTGGAGAGTCATTCACATTCAGAATAGTCAGCATGACATGAATACAGAATGAATTCTGTATTGTTCCCTCACTGGCTAAGGGCATTGGAAAGGATTGTAGTGACACCCAATCCATTTTGCTACACCTCCTTGGGACTAAGTCTGCTGTCCCCATCCGTTTGGATGCATAGAGAGGGAGATGGTTTTGTTAGTCTGGAGAGGATGCCTTATCCAGGAAAGTCATCTGGAACAGTATGTTATAAGGGGAAAGGAGATATTATGAACCCAGCTGATCAGAAGAGAGCTATCTGGTGCTCTAAATGCAATTCCTGTAGTCCCATACTTTGGCCAACAATGAGGTCTGATGCACAAAACATCTGGCATTTATTCTCATTGGCATACCAAATCCCCATTATTGGCATACCTAACCCACAAAGCCATTTTATGGATCCACCAAGCAGCACAGAATCACAAATATCAGAATTCTGGAGCACCTTCATAGGGCTGTGGATTAGGATGATAAGTAGAGGCCCCAAGTAATTTCAACTCTGTGACTAGTATAGTTTTGCTAGAACTCTTTCTATCCCCCCCCCCCAAGTGCTCTTCAGCGATGCTGCTTTATAACACCCCCGGAATGGAGACACTTACTGAACTACAACTCCACTCCAGGCAAAATGGAATGGGAGCTGTAGTTCAGTGTCTCTGAAGATGTGGGAGGGGGAAAGCTGACTCCTACAGAAAGTGCAAAAAAGAAGGAAAGCGAGAACAAGTTCCCAAAGGAAAAGGCACTTTCCAAACGCTCCTAACTGGGGATGGGTTGAGATCCGTGTTCCCCTTAGGTCAAGACCCGATAGGAGCCCATCGGCAGTCGCCCTCATTCCCGGAGCACCTACCTACCTACCCCCGCATTAACAAATCTGGGCTATGCCGGGGGCGCACGCACCCACCCATCTCCTCCCCCCCCCATTCGGGATGCGAGAAAAGAGCGGAGAGACTCACCGCTCTCCAGGTTTACGAACTCCGGAGTACCCAGCAGGAATTCGCCGCCCGGCGGTAACGACACCAAAACCCGGCCGCGTGGAGTGCGCAGCGGGCAGCGTAGAAAAGTTTCTCCCATGTCCGGGATTGCTAAAGGACGGTGGCCAGATCGGAGGGTCGTGCGCTCCTTTTGTAAAACCGACGGCAGAGATAGGATCTTTGTTCTCTTGTCACCTCGTTCCCGCCGAGCGCCTTTATTTCTCTCAGGTTTAGTTCTCCGCCTCCCCAAGGCGGAGAAACCCCCAGAAACCCGCCCCGCTTGTACCTGGTGTCCACGATCTTCTTTCTTCCCGCCCTCGCCCTGTTAGGTGAGTCTGCCTAACGTTCCCCAGACCTGGCTGCTTCTTCAACCAGAAAGCTTACTGGAGTGAGCACCCACGGAATGGCCTAATATCACAAAAGTTTCCCCCAAATGTTCAATTGTGGACTTGTCCTGGTGCTGTAAACTCAGAAAGAGGAAATATCTCAGGGGTTGCCACAAACAAGAGGGAGTCAAACTATTCTCCAAAGCGCCTGAGGGCAGGACAAGAAGCAATGGGTGGAAACTAATCAAGGAGAGAAGCAACTTAGAACTAAGGAGAAATTTCCTGACAGTCAGAACAACTAATCAGTGGAACAACTTGCCTCCAAAAGTTGTGAATGCTCCAACACTGGAAGTTTTTAAGAAGATACTAGATAACCATTTGTCTGAAGTGGTGTAGGGTTTCCTGCCTAAGCAGGGGGTTGGACTAGAAGACCTCCAAGGTCCCTTCCAACTCTGTTATTATATTAAATTTGAGGTTCCAACCAAATTGTTGGGGACAGAGGACTTTCCTTAGAAGAAGAGCATCCCAAAGATACCTTTGCCTCATTAGATGATCCAGTTTGGCCACTGTCGGTTTTTATTTGCCTGGAGCATCATAGGATTTATTTCCATGTACGTGTGCAAACAATTTTTGCCTTTGGGTTTTAATCACACAAGTGTAATTCACTGAAGAAATAAGTTGAGCTTGAGAGTAAGTGCCTGTTGAGGAACATGGGGAGAAAAACTATGTTGTCATACACATTTCCTAATTGGGAAACTCAAGATTCTCTTAATTAGGAGGACTTTAGCTTTTTCTCAAGCAGCTGATCTCTTAGTGTTCTCCAGTGCAACTCTGGTTGTTGGGTGCTGGAAAATTATAGCTCAGTTGTAGCTCAGCAGCATTTGGCAGTCTGTAATAGTCTTATCTCTATTTTTAAGAAGATATATAGGGAGATGAACCATTTCATTCTGTTCTGTTCACAAAACTTTGGGCCTCCTGAAATAACTTACATTTTTATGCATTATGGGAATGAATCTTTTAATCTCTCTAAATCTTTTGATGTATCCATTTAAATCTGCCCATCCTGCATAGATGCTCCACATGTCTACCCTGGTAGACATCAGTAGGGTGGGACCCAGAAAGTGGAATTCTTAGCAGTAGCCTTCTCAGTCCAGAGCAGCAGGTCTCTCAGTAGTACATACCATCTTGTCCTTCAAGAAACTGGTGACAGCATTCTTCTTCCCAAAGAATACAATTAAGAAATTAACAGATTCTGTTTTCATGGTGGATTATTTTTATGAATGTTTTTAGTTCAGTATATTTTAGCCATTGTGACCAACCTGATATTGCACCAGCAGGAAGCATTCAAAGTTAATAATAAACCTAAATTAATAAACCAATCAACCAGACAACACTCAAATGACTTGAAATAATCTCTTTTCTAAAATGATATTTTCATTGCTCTGACCAAGAATGTCCTTTTTGATAGGAAATTAGATTAAATAAGGCAGATTTGGCAACTGATTTCCTACAAATAAGATCTAATAACAAGTCAATATCCCTGGACAAATTGTATATTAAGGCTAGATTAAGTTTGGATTGGAGGCAGGTAGCAAAGCAAATGAGGTGGGAAAAATGGGAAGAAAAGCTTGATGTCACTGTTTGTCCTTGACACTCTGACCTTTTGCAAAACTGCATCTGAAGGGACTGAACCAGGGCTAGAGACAAAGATGGCAGGGCTTCCTTAGAATAACATTTCTAGATTAAATGGCCATCCTAGGCCAACTGTGTTCGTTCTATGCCCCCAAAGTGGTCAGCCAAAAGAGAACAACAAAGTGGATTGCTTATTATACAGTAATAATACTGTAGATTGAATCAAGGAGCCGAGGTTGCGCAGTGGTTAGGGTGCAGTACTGCAGCTACTTCAGCTGACTGCTAGTTCATCAGATCAGCGGATCAAATCTCACCAGCTCAAGGTTGACTCAGCCTTCCATCCTTCCGAGGTGGGTAAAATGAGGACCCAGATTGTTGGGGGCAATATGCTATTTAGTATACTATCTTTGGTGTAAGCTGCCCAGAGTCCTTGGAGAGTGGGAGGCATAGAAATATGAATAATAAAATAAATAAATAAATAAATAAATCTGCTATGGTTATAGACCAGCATAAGTAGTAATAGAAGGGGATAACTGAGGTTACAATGTGCTTCTTGGTGGATCAAATATACTTTTCAATGGAACCAAACTCCTAAAAGGCATCATGACTTCAGTGGAAGACCAAGAATATTTTGCAAGTCTCTCTGTGTGAACCAATTGATTCCTGATTTAAAAGCAAAAATGGTCACAAAGGTAAAATAACAGGAAAGCCCATTGAATCTTTTTCTCGTCACTGGAAAATCATTTCCTTGTGCCTTCAAGCACTTTCACTGAGAGTAACGATTTTGGATGCCTCTCATATTTGTTCAATGTTTTCCTGCCGCCCTCCCCAGTCTTGGTTATTCTTTAAAAAGTCTAATATTTCTCCTCTGTATTTGATTTCCACATAATAACAACAGTTCAGGTCAGGTCTATTACAGTATAGATTAAGCCTAGCCTGGTTTGAAGGAAAAGAGACAAAAGCTGGGAGATGTTGGTATTTCTTTCAACTGCTATGTCCTCATAAAAATTATGATCCACAATTATTCCTAGTTCGTACATAATTCACCTTATAATATTGTATATATTAATAATAGTATTCAGGTATTCTTATTATATGTCCCCTTGAATTGAAAAAAAAAACATTTGCCTAGGATCACAGAATCAAATAATTAGAAGGAGCCATGAGGTGATTGAGCCTCCTCCTCCTCAGTGAAGTTCATATTAAAGCTTCTCAGACAGTTACTCAGATTCCCCCTCTTTCAGTAACTGGTTCCACTGTCAAATTGCTCTTGCTGTTGAGATTTTTTTCCCCTCACATTCAATCAGAATTTGATTTTCTAAAACTTAAATCCATTGTTTTGTGTCCTACACCTTGGAAGAAGGTCTGGACTGTCTCTGTGACATCTTTTCAACAATTTGAAGAGTATAATCAATCATGAACATCAATCATGTTTTCAAGACTAAACATGCCAGTTCCTTCAATCTTTCTTCAGTACTTAGCTTCCAGTCCTTTGATTATCTTCACTGCCATTTCTGAACACTGTTCCAATTTTTCAGAATCCTTCAAGTACAATATCCAAAACAGGATATAATACTGTAGATGCATTCAAGGCAGAAAACAGAAAAATTATGTCCTGTTATTTGGGAATGTTATTCTATTCAGGCAGTTAAAAATTGCGTTTGGGGCCACGTTATAGTGTTGGGTCTAAATCAGCGGTCCCTGTTTCTGGCTCCATGGACCAGCAGGAGTGGCAGAGGGAGGGAAATGGTTTTGTGCATGCATCCTAGATCCCATGCATGCGCAAATGAAGCTTTGTGTGCTTGCCATCACTTGTGTGGCTCAATTCCCAATGGCCACGGACTGGTATCAATCTGTGGCCCAGGGGTTGGGACTACTGGTCTAAATCACTTTGCAATCAACTATCTTTCCCCCTCCTCTCAAATACTATTACAAAGCTAAGTGCTCCCCCGCCCCATAATATATATGTGCATTTGATTTTTGTGAAGAACTTTGCACTAACTTCTATTAAAATTCTGTTACTTTCAGCCCATTTCTCTAACCCATCATGATGTTTCTATTTATGTCTTGTAGGACATTGGCTATTCCATCAAACTTTATTTGCAAATTTGGTAAGTTTTCCCTTCCTTTCCTTCACCCAAATAATTAACAGAATAACAGAATTGGAAGGTCTTCTAGTCCAACCCCCTGCTCAAGCAGGAGAAACTATAACATTTCAGACAAATGGTTGTCCAATCTCTTCTTAAAAACCTCCAATTTTGGAGCACTCACAACTTCTTCTTGAAGGCAAGCCATTCTACTGATTAATTGTTCTCACTGTTACAAATATTCTCCTTAGTTCTAAGTTGCTTTTCTCCTTGATTAGTTTCCATCGATTGTTTCTTGTCCTGCCTTCTGATGCTTTGGAAAATAGGTTGACCCCAGTGGTGGAATTTAAATTTTTTTACTACCGGTTCTGTGAGCGTGGCTTGGTGGGCGTGGCAGGGGAAGAATACTGCAAAATCTCCATTCCCACCCTACTCCAGGGGAAGGATACTTCTTTGTGGCAGCCCCTCAAATATTGGAACACTATAATTTCACCCCTAGTCCTTCTTTTTACTAGACTAGACATATCCAGTTCCTGCAACTGTTCTTCATATGTTTTAGCCTCCAGCCCCCTAATCGGGTGAAATCCAGCAGGTTCTGAAAGGTTCTGGAGAACTGGTAGCGGAAATTTTGAGCAGTTCGGAGAACCGGCAAATACCACCTCTGGCTGGCCCCAGAGTGCGGTGGGAATGGAGATTTTGCAATATCCTTCCCCCAGGAGTGGGGTGGGAATGGAGATTTTGCAGTATCCTTCCCCTGCCACGCCCACCAAGCCACACCACGCCCACCAAGCCACACCCACATAACCGATAGTAAAAAAATTTGGATTTCACCACTGCCCTAATCTGTTGCTCTTCTCTGCACTCCTTCTAAAGTCTCAACATCATTTTTACATTGTAGCGACCAAAACTGGATGCAGTATTCCAAGTATGATCTTACTAAGGCTTTATAAAATGCTACTAATACTTCACATTATCTTAATTCTATGCCTCTGTTAATGCAGTGTAGGATTGCATTGGCTTTTTTGGTTACTGCCAAAAAATTAATAAAAGTGCTGGAGAGTAAAGGACTCTGGAGTGACCCTTGCAGAACCTCACTTGGTAAATCTCTCAAGACTTCGTAAGAAACCATTGATAAATAAATTTTAGTACTGTGAACTAAAGTACTGTGGCAGCTATGAATCTATATGTCTTGCTATCCAATTCACAACAATCTTTAGTCAATATTTTCAGTTATAACCATCCTTCCCCATTCCTTTCTCACTTGTTTGTTCTCATGTTATATCATCCATAGCTGTAGTGAATATACAGTATTTTTCATTTTTTCACCTAAAAATTTACAAACTCATTCCTTTAAACTTCTTGTGCCATTTCTGGATTTTCAAGTCTTCAGATTTTCCCATAAGGTTTCTTGATATGTCAGATAGTGGAAGATATGAGTTTATTACAGGAAAAACCAGAAAATCAGATTTTTCTTTCTTTGAATGCTTGAAACCGTAAAAGAAATGATAGAAGATACAGTGCTCCAAATGGAAGAACAGATTATTTTCTCAGAACAACTATCTTTTCAAACCTAAGCCCAAAGATGGGTAATCAATAGCTCCATTTATTTTGGCAGACTCTAGAGTCACCCAAGATCATACTACTGAAATCTGGCAGCAAGCATCTGATTTTTAGTGGCATTTTTGTAATAAAAATGCATCAGTTCCCTCCAAACTCTATTCCTAAATGAAAAAAAAAAGTTGATTATTTCAGCTTTACCCATCTTGGAGGTATCACTTCGTCACTTCAATGCTCCAATAGGCTTCACAGGCCTACAAAATATTCTTAACTTTAACATTCTTCCAAGACACAACTAGCCTGCCTCTCTCTGCCTTAATTAAATCTCAACTTCTCTCTGCAAATTCAGGAACTGACAAAAAGAAACTTATCAGTTGGGTCACAAAGACACAAACATATAGAGAATACACTGCAAACTCAATTGTAGAGATTGCATGAAGTCTAGGTTATCCATGATATTGAACCCGAGTACAAATTCCCCATTAGAAACAAAGCTTAAAGTGCATATAAAGATTTATTAAAATGCATAGAAATATTAGGTACCATGTTTGTGCTTGTGAACGTGCCATCTAATAATCCTTTTTAAATCCAAATTAAGCAAAGTTCAATGATTTGTAATGATACCACATAAGAACTGCAGTTAAAAAACAGGGTCATTGCATTCATCATTCTAGGACTACATAGCGTTCAACTTTTTTATGACATGGCATTGGCTGGCATCTTGTCCAAAGCTTTCTGTACACTTAAGAGCATTTTTAATCATGGCATATAAAGTCCATAAGCAAGCCCAAATTAGTCAAAAGAGATACAAAATGTACAGAATTGAAATGAGCCTTAGAGTAAGAAACTTAATAAAATAATTGGTTATCCTTTATTTTCTATTGTTTCTTTACTTTTTTCCTTTCTTGCACTTCTCTTTGATGTCTCTTTCAGTTTTCTTATTTCATATTAGTTTGTATTAATTTTTGTTTTATATATAATTGTTTGTGTGTGTGTATGTGTATATAAATCTGCTGCAGTCCAACTTGAGAGTCAACAATCATATCTACCTTATCTGAAGGACAAACTTGGTCTACCAAATGACTAAATTCCTGTGGATTTTCCAACTGGGAAAAAAAAATAGGCATAGAACAAAAAACAAGCAGCTGCATTGAATAATATCTATGACACCCCACCCCACCCACCCCGGATTCAAATAGGGTCAGATGGCCCTCAATGTCCATTACTCAATCCATATCTGGAAGTGTTTTAAGAAAAATTCAGCTCCCCATCTGTAATTTAGACTTTAGATTTTTTGATCATAAAAATAATAAACCATATTTTCTAAATTTATTTCCAAAGCAAATCTAAATAATGCACTATGCAATTTAAACATTGACTATTTAGAATTCTCAGAATGTTCACCATTATATATTGTAGTTGCTTTGTTATGTGCTGGTTATTAAATTCCCTCAATATTTAATTTTGAATGATATCCATTCCTTTAAATATATTATGTGCTCATGATTGATATTCTTCAAAAATTGTTCTGTTGACTTGGATTAGTTTCCTGTCCACAGTTTCTTTTCAATGTTATTGGTTAAGTCATATTGGTAACTTTCTTTCACAGAGAGAATGGCTAAGCCATCGTGCTATACTAGAAAATTTTATTTTAAACCCATTAGAGAAAGAAAAGAAAAAGATAACAAAAAGAAATAAATGATTGATTAGACTGATGTCCTGTGATGTGTATGTTCCTAGACATCCACTACCTTCATTACCCCTTCCTGGTTCCCCTCTCATTCTTGTGTGGATTCTCCTAATCAAAGCAATTCTGCACCACCTCACTGCACTGTTTCAGAGCTGCCTACTCGGAAATGAAGATGGGGGACTGTGGCTATGCTGGGTGGGGCAATTCATGCCAGAAATGGAACCTCCTGTTTGCTCCTTGGCAACTATGGTTCCATGGCAACTATCACAAGATGAACGGGTAAACCTCCATTGACATCTGTTGCAGTAGTGGATGGTGGAAGCTCCATAGTAGTGGTCTCTAAAGGTGGCAAAGGCTGAGGTGTCAATTTTATACTTGTTTGTGTGACAGAACTTGGTTCAGCTGTGAAAGGTAACTGCTTTTTTGTGAAAGTTTTTCCATGAGTTTCATGTCTGACAGCTGTAAATGTTAGATACTTTGACTCTCTAGTGTTCCAGAAGGGCTGTTTTGTCGTGGACCTTTCAACAGTTTCTTTGACTGTAGAAGAGACTACAGATTGGGACTGGTGTGCTTTTGTAGATATTGCAGATGAAGGCTCTCTAAGTTTGGAAGAGCTTTTAGATGAAACTTTTGTAATTGTTGTAGAGGTCCTTTGGGTGACAAAAGTTATTACAGGTGATGTCTGTTCAGTTCTGGCTTTTACATTCTCAGGCTTTTCAGTTTGGGGAAAGAACTGCCTTGATGATGTAGATGTTTTGTTATCATAGGATTTTGTAAGAGGTACATAATTGGCCACTGGTAGTGATATGGTTGTTTGAGAAATTGGGGCTGCTGTTGATACTTGCTGAGTTGCTGAAAGTGTCTTGTTCATTGTTTTGAATATGATCGATACACCTGGAGTAGCTGACGGTAATTCTTGCTGAAGAGGATTTTCTAGGGATCCCTCTTGCCTTAGCCATTTTAGGTGGGTTAAAAGCTGGGCAGCCAAAATAGGACCAGAACAGTTGTGCAAACTCTGGCTCACAATGCCCATCACTTCCCAATTTGATGTACCTGGGTCATGGCACATCACTGGAGTACCTACAGGCACCTGCAGTAGAAGAGGAAAGAAGGCATGAAAATCAACTAGACAACTCAAAAAAAGCCTAAAATACTTGCACTGGTGATTTTTTACTGGTGGATTGGCTATGCAGCTGAGATTTTTAATCACTGACCCTGTTATAGCAGGGATGGGCTCAGCCAATATAACAGGCTTCTGACACATCCAATGAGTTCTAAAAATATTTTCTTGGTTAGTAAATCCAAATTATTCCAGAAAAGCTTCTGAACATTAAAACATTAAAAGCACAAAAACTATTCTGAAACAGATCGAAAAGGCTTTCTCCGCTTTGAAACAGTAGCATTCAGGTTTTAATTATGTAGATAAATAAGAAGGTGTTGGGAGGGTAATTATTTCAATGACTTTCATTGAAATGACTAAATGAAATGACTAAAAAACCAAGTGGAAATTTCTTCATCCACAGATTTGACCCATTGAATCTATTTATATAGGTTACCTTGCAATCTGCATGCTTAGGAGGTTTTTTTCTTTCAACACACAAGTTCCGTTCATTTGTAGATCCAGGCCAGTGCTTAGAACACTCTAAGACACTTAGACTCTCCACAATGGTTATCTTTAAAAACAACTTTGTGGTTTCTATAGAGAGGGAGAAAAGATCCTCAGCTACCTGAACTGTTATGCTGTGTCAAGGTTTCCTGCAGTGCTACTTTACTCTTAATATGTTTATGACTATACATGTGCAATATTATACTTTAAAAATTGGTACTCTTATTATTTTTTAAATTATCAAATTCTGGAAAAGCTGCTTATCCTCTTTTCTGGGTTGTGCCCAGATTTTCAAATATTTTCAAAGCAGCAAGGATAAACAATTCCCCAAAAATAATATTGATTGCATGTCAAATACTAGCTGCCATGCTTATCCAATAATTCTTTACAGTTATGCCAAATGCACTGAATTCTGCCCTTAGTTAGCTGGTTTTTTAAATAAATGCCACAAGTGCCAATATCTTCATTTGTACTTGTGGCATTGATCCCAATACATTTTTCTGACATCCAAAAACCCATATGGAATGCTCCCAAACTCACCATTATTACTTTGTTCCAAAATCCTGCATTCCTCTGTTATGTCATAAGGTTTTTGTTCTTTAGGGATACAAGCAGGCCACATGTCTTGCCTTCTTAAATCAGTTGGCTGACCAAGCAAGATTAGTCCCAGGTCATTATTGGGTGCTGTATTCCAAGAACTGAAGCCCCGATGTAGCAGAAATTGGCTCACTGTATTGGTGGAGAAACGCCCATGAGATCCAGTCAACTCTACTTGGCTCGGATTCCTACAAGACATACATAGCATGAATTAATAAAGGGAGATGATTCTGGTGGCAGGACTTTCCCATAACCTGGAAGTTGTTTGGTATTATATTTCCCCATATGCCAATCATTCCTAGAAGGAAAACTTCCAATTTCTTCCATTACTTACATCAGTAGGAAGCAGTTGGCTGCCGTCAAGACCCACCAACTGCTCAGGATAACTCCTTGGCATCTCCTGCCATTGCCATAGATGTTCACAAGCCATGGTACTTCTGAGTTGTTACTATGTTCTGAGTGTTCATCTTTGTCTGATTTGGGTTGCATATGCTGAAGATCACAAACTGTAGGAGACCAGCAAATTATTGTAGGAAACCCCAATCAAAACATCTTACCTGTGCAATATAACATACTCTTCAGTGGTGGTAAGCTTTACTTCTGGTCACTACAAATACATGATCATTCTTGAAACTGACAATATCAAGCACACTGAAGTCAACAAGGAGATTAGAAGTGAATACATCAAAAGAATAAAGATCTTAAAGTCCAAGCTCAGTTGAAGATATACCATCAAGGCAATTAATATCCAGACAATTCCAGTCATTACATACATAGCTGTAAATAGTGGACTGGGCTCAAGCCGAACTAAAAGCTGTGGATAAGACCAAAAAATAATGACAATGAATCATGCCCTTCATCCTCCCAGTGATGTTGACAGACTCTACTTACCAAGGAAAATAGGTGGGTGTGGAATATTTCAAGTACAGGAGATGATTGAAGAAGAAAAAAGAGGGCATTGGAAAAATATTTGAAGAACAATGAAGATGTACTGAAGCTAGTATATCATGAAGGCTTACTGAGTACTTAAGCATTCGGTGTTTTGGTTTATTTAGGATGGTTAGTTTACTTTTTCAGACACAAGTCTATTGAAAAACTACCCACATCAACCAAGTGCTTCACTACCAGTACCAAAATAATAACCCAATCTCCCATAAGAGAAGCTATTTCCAATGCACAAACATATTGCAGGAATGCTGAACATCAGAAAAAAGAATCAGAGCATTTATACAAGGTTTTCCAACAAAATGGATACCCACACAACTTTATCAAAAAGTGCCTGATTACTCAGTCTACTATAGCTCAACTAATACAAGTTGTGAAAAAGGTAACAGTGTCATATATCAAAAATATCTCAGAAACTACCAAGAGACCATTATAACTACATGGCATCACTGTAGCACACAAACTAACTAAAACTCTCCAAAGCATCTTAAGTAAACCAAAAGACCCAGCAGCCCCAGAAGAAAAAACAGGAGTTATCTATAACATACAGTATAAGGACTGTAACAGCCATTATGTAGGACAAACAGAAGACTAGCAGAACACATCCTTGAATACCAATTAGTAGTCAAGACATGATCAAAACTTCTTAATTTCACAACCCATGGACAGACTCAACCATAGTTTCAACTGGGAAACTGTAAGCAAACTAGATCCATCCAAGTCCCAAAACATCAGAGAATTCTTGGAGGCCTGGCACTCAGACAAATCAGCCATCAACAGGCACAGAGATAAACAACATTTACATACCACTCAAAAGAGTCAGTCAAAAAATCCAAAAGGAAACAAAAAAAAAAAGAAAAGAAAAATACCTTCTCACTAGCAATCAATACCCATATGAGCAGAGAATAACCCCAAGATTAACATCTAGACCAGGGGTGTCAAACTCGATTTCACTGAGAGTCACATCAGAGTTGTGTTTGACCTCGGGGGGTCGGGGCCGCATGGCCAGCTCAATGTCACTCATCAAGGCTCCATTTTCGGCCGTGACAGCCTCTTGCAGCCCTCTGCCAGCAAAAACAGAGCCCGGGGGTGTGTGCACAGCCCACTCGGGCTCTGGTTTTGGCCACAACGGCCTACTGCAGCCCACTGCCAGCAAAAACGGAGCTTGGGGAGGTGTCCAGTGGCCCGCCCAGGCTCTGTTTTCACTGACAGAGGGACTGTGGGCCGGTCCTTCGCTGTTTTCAGGGCAGGCCCGTGGGCCAGATCTAAGTACCCTGCGGGCCTTGAGTTTGACACCCCTGATCTAGTCCAGCAATCAAGAAGTAAACAATACCCCAATCAAGGAATACCAACACAGACAAACAGGTTAACACTAAGTAACAATCCAATCAAGTAACCACTAAGAACACTCCCACCAATACAGACAGGGCAGTTGTTAACCGAGGCCTTGACTTATGACAACAATTGAGCCCAAAATTTCTGTTGCTAAGCAAGGCACTAGTTAAGCAAATTATATCCCATTTTATGACCTTTTTTGTTACATTTCTTAAGCAGATCATTGCAGTTGTTAAGCAAATCATACAGTCATGAAGTGAAACTGGCTTTTCCCATTGACTTTGCTTGTTGGAGGCTGGCTGGGAAGATTACAAATGGTGATCACATGACCTGGGACAGTATAACTGTCATAAATACATGCAAGTTGCTAAGCACCCAAATTTTGATTGTGTGACCATGGGAATGCTGCAACAGTCGTAAATGTGAAAAATGATCATAAGTCATTTTTTCAGTGCTCTTGTAACTTTGAACAGTCACTAAACAAATGGTTGTAAGTCAAAGATTTATCTGTAGTATATAAAAATAAGAGCAAAGCCCACTTCCTTTTCATACAGACAAGCTATATGACATCTTAGACTTAACAATTGTTGATAAGAAAGACAAAAGAACTATTGTGGCAAAATAATGCAGAGATAGTATCACTAATAATAGACCCCTTTGGGTGTAATTCCAAAAGATCTGGAGCACCACTTGAACACCATTGCTATTAATAAGATCACCGTGATCAGTTGGAAAAGGCAGCTTTACATGGAACAGCTTACATCCTGCAACGATGATTTCTTTTAACACCATGAAACAATATCTGCCTATCCTAGGTCCTTGGGAAGCACTTGATAGGTGGATAAAAATGCCAAATCCAGTCTATATATCTGTCTGACTATGCAATGAACCATTATAATAAATCTAATAAATTATAAATATTCTACAGGGTGACTCATTATTACTTAATTTAGTAGTCTCACTTTCAATGATTTTGAAGAAAAGAAATCTTGAATACCAACAGCAAAAAAAAATGCTAATAAAATATCTCATTTGCTTTATATGGATGATTAGAAGCTTTATGGAAAATCAAATTGAAATCTAGTAATGGACAAACATTAACTATTTTAATACAGATACAGCAATGCAATTTGACCTAGAGAAATGTGTTATTGTAATCATAAATTGGGGTAAAATCACAAATAATAATGGAATTGAAATGTTGAATGCCCAAATCAGGATATAGTTAACAAGTATCTGGGCATTTTACAGTTGGATATCAAGCATGGAGAAATTAAAATGTGATCACTAAAGAGTGAGGTATTGTTTGGCCAAACCTGGACTATACCTATGATATGATACACTGCTGGAAATATTAAGTGGACTCAAGCTGAACTAGACCAAAAACCAAGAAAACAGATGACTATTCACTATGCATTACATCCTGCCATGATATTAATAAATTATACCTGTCTCACAGAAACAGGCAAAGGTTTACTTCAAGTCAAACAAACTGTCAAAGACGGAAAGCATGCCTGGCTGATTACATAAAAGACAGCCAAAAACAAGCATTGATGCAATTTAAAAATTATTGAATGTGCAGGAAACAAAATATGAATATCAAAATAATGTAATAAAAACAAGAACAGAATGCTGTGAAGGAAAAGCAATATATGGTCATTTTTTACAAGAGTGAGGTGAAAGTGGATAAAGCTAAAACCTGGCAATGGTATGGGCTTACAAGTGGAATATTAAAAAAAGAAATTGAAGGCTTGACTTTGGCTGCTCAAAAGCAAGCTATTCAAACTAATGCAATCAAGGCCAGAATTTAAATATCATCAAATGATTCAAAGTGCAGACTGTGCAAAGGGGCAGAAGAAACAGAAGATCATATCCTCAGCAGGTGCAAGAAGCTTGCACAAATTGATTATAAACAACAACAGCCACCAAAATGATTAGCTGGAACATCTGTAAAAATTATCATGTGCCAGTACTGTTCTAAAAAATGGTGGAAAGATTGAGTTTAAAAGTAGTAAAAAATGAGCAGGTTAAAATATTGTGGAATTTCTGAACACTAATAATACAGATTTAAGAGTGTTAAAAAAGAAGAAAGTGTGGATAATTTATATGGCAATAATAGATAATAGAATTGAACACAAAGAATTGGAGTGGATCAGAAAATATCAAGATCTGAAAATCAAAATTAAAAGATTGTGGCATAAGCTGATCATGGTGGTCCCAGTGGTTATCAGTACAGTGGGTACCATACCAAAAAATCTTGGATGGCATTTAGAAAATCTGTGCATTGACAAATTTCCCATCTATCCATTATGGAAGTCCCCATTGCTTGGATCTGCACATATCCTATGCCAGTAGATTACAATATTCTAGGTTCTTGGGAAGAACTGAACGCATATGAAGATCAACATCAACTAAAGAATTGGCAGCTGTGAATTTACAATGTTGAGTATATAATAATATAGTTCAAACTTCTAAATAATATATTGTTTCTTGAGTCTTTCAACTTAAATATATCACTTAACTCAAAAAATATGAATATTGAGGTTGCATAGACCTCTCAGTCCTCCCAAAGAGGGAACAGGACTCAAGTCTACTACGTTGGCATGTTGTTGCTTACAGTGGGAAGAGGAAGAGGAAGACAGAAGTAGCTGGAAGATAACATACAGCCTGAATAGATGCCCCATCTTCATTTCTGTAGCTAAGGCTACTGCGAAAGAATCTGGGACATCCAGAATAGAACTTTTGAGCTCACAAAAGGCTAATCTATGACCTCAGTTACATAAAGCTCTAATGTCATGGCAGATAGTCTCCAGTATTACCAACTCTTCTGTTAATCATTAGTCCAGAGGTGGGTTTCAGCAGGTTCTGACCAGTTCTGGAGAACCAGTAGTGGAAATTTTGAGTAGTTTGGAGAACCGGTAGTAAAAATTCTGACTGGCCCTGCCCCCATCTATTCTCTGCCTCCCAAGTCCCAGCTGATTGGGAGGAAATGGGGATTTTGCAGTAACCTTCCCCTGGATTGGGGAGAGAATGGAAATTTTACAGTATCCTTCCCCTGGAGTGGGGTGGGAATGGAGATTTTACAGTATCCTTCCCCTGCAATGCCCACCAAGCCATGCCACGCCCACCAAGCCATGCCACGCCCACAGAAACGGTAGTAAAAAATGTTGAAGCCCACCACTGCATTAGTCCTAAACTATCATGCTGTAGCTGGTGTCTCATATTCACATTCTAAATGCAGTGGATATTACATCGTATTTGGTTATTGAAAGCAAGTATATATTTTTTTAAATGCAGGCAGTGTAGTGCAGACTATTCCCACCACCACCTGAAAGTGTAAATCACTGATTTTTCTTTTTTCAGAACATGTTCAGATATGGCCACCTTTCCAATTATAAACATGGGAGGGGAAAGGCACCCCTACCACCATTTGAATTAGAAAGGGTCTCACATATCATGCTGAACCATAGTTTAGTTAACCATAACTTTTCAAATAAACATTTAGATGGATTCATCCTAGCATGCTAGGCCATTAATCACAGATATCAAGACACAATGGTGGAATCTGAACAATCTGCTACTGTATTAATAGCAATAGCACTTAGACTTATCTACCGCTTCACAGTGCTTTACAGCCCTCTCTAAGGGTTTACAGAGTCAGCATATTGCCCCCAACAATCTGGGTCCTCATTTTACCCACCTCGGAAGGATGGAAGGCCGAGTCAACCTTGGGCTGGTGAGAATCAAAGGTAAACCAAACAGGCTATGTTTATTATTTATTTCTTAATCAAATTTATAAACTCACATAACATTATATGACTTTGTGCAATGATTAAACTTACCCAGATCTTAAAATCTTAACTGTTTTGCTATAGTGGAATTTTGGATTTTCATTGCTAATCATTGAAGTAGGATATGTTGGAGCAAATATTAATGCCATACCCAAAAACGTTGGCAAGAAAATTGCATGAACTTGTCCATGTAGTCACTAGGAGTCAATACTCGAATGGACCAAAAAAAAAAAAAAAAAGCTATGCAGATTTCAGCTTCCTTTTGTATCTAATTTACAAGTCTTCCCCGAGCCAGAGCTGCGTTGGACTACAATCCCCATAATTCCTAACCAGCACCGACCAAGATATTAGTCTCTAGCACATCGAAAGTAAAACAATCCATTGTCAGTATTTTAATTTAAAAAATACAAGGGGCGACTAACAAAACAGAGGCTGCTGAGAGCCGTCATCAGTTTAACCGCCGTTCCGAAAAGGTTTTCCGCTAGTCGCCATTTTACAAAAAAAAGAATTCTTGGCTGTTGCTATGGTTTCGGTTGCTAAGACCTTTCTATCTCTTGTAGCTTTCTCTCTATGGTCGTGTCTTTGAAAAGCTTTCAAGACAGGGGGCATGATTTGCTCCCGATTTGGCCAATGAAAATGTAACCTCGCCCTGGAAATTTTTTATTCTCCAATAGAGCTGAAGGCTTACTTGACGGACAGACGAAAAACCTATAGAAATCCAGAAGGTCGAAGATCTTGAGCAAATACAGATAGGGAACGAGGCGGGCAAATCGGGGAATATTTCCTGATCGTGTCGTGAATGGAGCCGTATCCGGATTCAGAGTAAATAGTCTAAGGGTGAGTATTGGATGCTCGGCTCCGTTATTTGGGCTGGATTTGTCGGGAACAGCTCAGGCCTTTACTCGGAGACATGGGACGTTGTGCTCTTTGGAGGGGAGGGGAGAAAACAAGGCTCCGTGGTGGCAGGGGGTTCCCGCGACTTCCCATTTCCTTTTGGCTAACCGTCCTTTTTACTTTCTAGGGAATAAGAGCCCCCTTTCTACGAGCTGCACCGTCGTCACTATGGAGACTCTTATCCCTGTGATCAATAAGCTGCAAGAGATTTTCAACACCGTGGGAGCCGAAATTATACAGCTGCCCCAAATCGTGGTAGTTGGCTCTCAGGTGAGGTTCTGCCTCTATTTAGGCTTAATCCAAGCCCATTCCAAATAGCAGGGTTTGTAGTAGCAATAGCACTAGCACTTAGATTTATATACCGCTTTACAGCCCTCTCTAAGCAGTTTACAAAGTCAGCATATTGCCCCCAACAATCTGGGTCCTCATTTTACCCACCTTGGAAGGCTGAGTCAACCTTGAGCCTAGTGAGATTCGAACTGCCAAATTGCTGGCAGCCGGCAGCCAGAAGTAGCCTGCAGTACTGCATTCTAAACACTGCGCCACCACAGCTCTTAATATGACTAATGTTGGTTAAACCAACAGGTAAAACTTTTTGTCAGCTAAGCAAACTTCAATTTAAAGATAAAGTGGGAGCGGAAAATATCACCTGCCCTATTTTTTTTTTTAAATTTTACTAACATATAGTTTCTTTTTTCTTTTTTCTCCAATTTTTATAAGTACAAACTAAACAGAACAATGAAACGTACAAAACATAAAAACATATAAACATCCATTTCAATACATGTTCAGTTTGTCGCAACTATAATCTACATTTCTCTTTGTATTTTAACTCTTCCTTATTTGGTCATTCCCTTTTGTCTATCTAATATTGATCTTTGTTGACCTATGTCTGTTCTTTGTTTCCATCATATTATATTTGGTCATTTTATTTACTTCCTATTGCTTCATCTCTTTCCTGTCTTTCAACCAACTATACCACTTTTCCCATACTAAGTAAAAGTCATGTTCTTCCCTATTTTGTAATTCCTTTGTGAGTCTATCTAATTCCGCACATTCCATAATTTTATTGATTACTTTATCTGGTGTTGGTATATCACTACTCTTCCAATGTTGCGCGTATAGTATTTGTGCTGCTGATATCATATGTATAATTAAATAGGTTGTTTCTTTTTCATAGTATCCATTCACTATACCTAGTAAGAAGCTTTCTGGTCTTAGTTCTATCTTTTGGTGTGTTATTTCCTCTATTTGTATTTTGATCCTTTGCCAATATTGTTTCGCCTGCCAATATCAATATCAATATCAATATCACCTGCCCTATTAATGGGCAAGTTTGAGAGGATCTTAAGAAAATGAATTTGTGAGTATGCAAGGAGGTAAATCAACATGAGATGCCAAAACCATATTAGTAATATGCTCTTCTTCTAAACTTTTACAAAGGTAAGAAACTTTTCTTTTTCTACCTGTAATGCTATTTATTTCCACAGAGTAGTGGGAAGAGCTCAGTGCTAGAGAGCATTGTTGGTCGGGATTTCTTGCCACGTGGCTCTGGAATTGTCACACGGCGGCCCCTGGTCTTGCAGCTGGTCCATGTACCAACCCTGGAGGAGAGGAGGCGGAAAGCTACTGGAGAAAGTGGTAAGGGAAAAGTTACTTCTTTTTGTGGCAAAGTAAAACAGAGATGTGAGCATTAAAACATTAACTCAGTAACTCTGATCCAGAAGATGGAATATGATTACCTAGAAGGGGCTGGCTTGGTCTCTGCCTTCCAGTACTTAAGAGTGTATAAATCACATCACTTGTTGACTGAAAAGGTTGATCACCAGGACCAGAGGTTTTGCCTTCTGAGCTTTCGGACTCGTGCTGGGGCCCATCTTCATAGAACTTCTCTCTAGTAGCTGTAGCAATTTCTCCTGCTAGAGAAAAATTCCCTGAAGATGGATTCCAGCATGAGTCCAAAAGCTCAGAAGACAAAACCTCCGGTCCCAGTAACTGACCCAGATTGGATCATGCAATATTATCCTAGAACACATATATTCACCTTCATTTGTGAAAAAGTTAGAGTTAGAAGGAATTACAATAATTTTGTCATCTTGAGCTAGAGTGGCTTGAGGGTCCTGCATAGTATTGCATAGTACTATATGGGTATTTCTGTGTCTGAAATGTGCCTGATCTCATTGTGCTGTTGCTATGACTTAAACTTGCATCAGACTTTGCAGTGCAAGTACAGAATTGTGACATTTACATAATGCCATTGGTGTGCCTATACCCTCGTTTTGGTTTTACTGCAATTTGCTGCAGATGCTGCCACATGATGTCAGTGGACAGGCCTAAGTTCCTTCCTCTTCCCATATCCTTTTCTTCAGAGGAATGATTTACTGAGGGTGGATATAAAGATTCTCCATCCCCAGTGAACATTAGTAATCCAAAACAGTTCCTTTGCATGATGACAAACAAGAATTGGGCAGGAAGCAACTTGTAGAAATTATTTCATTGGGTACAGGCTAAAAGGCTGGTGCTGCCTGATTCTGACTATCTATACTACCTAAATTCAGTGTCTGGGAATAACGGGTGGAGTATTGTTGCCTCATACGGAAAGAGTATGTTTGGTAAAATTGGACATTTTTGCATCAGTGAGCTGTCAGGTTTTCACTGGCTCAACTGTACTGGTTATTTTATCTGACATTTTTGATAGAAGCAAAATCAAACACCAACAGACAGCATAGGAGAATGGTTACAAGTGTCGGAGTAAAGCTAGGGAGACACAAGTTTAGATCCTCGCTTAGTCACAAAGTAAACTGACCTAGGCATTGTCTTATAGGAAAATGGTGCTGGAAAGATTCTCATATGTCTTTTGTTTTATTTTGCTTTTTGTCTGCAGTTGCCCAGACAGAGGAATGGGCCACTTTCCTGCACTGCAAGCACAAGGTACTGAGTGAGTGGGGCAAATGTGGAACTGTTTATGGTTAGAGTCAGCCCAGGCCAATTGGCAAACTGGCTACCTAATATGGCAAAGAAAAGCCTCACATTAATAGGGAAAAATGCCCCCCCAAGGGAAACACAGTGACATTTCTCAGGGGGAGCGGGGAAGGAATAATGGTGTTTGAGGGTTGAGGACAATCTCTCTTTTCCCATCATACAATAACACTGTTCCAGGGATGTCTGTTTTTCTCATTTTGTAAAAAACCCAAATGTCTCAATTTTCTTGTAAGAAGTAGGGATAAAATGAAATCCTTGAGGCAGCCCATATGAGGAAGAGGCATTCCCTTCTGTGGCACAATATAAGATCAGTGAGGTGGGGAGTGGAGAGAAAGACAGAAAGAGAAAGAAAGAGTTATACATCTGTGAACAGATTTGCTTTGTCCTGCTTGGGCCTCCTTGTATGTTTGATGACTGGATTCCTGCATCATGTTGAGTGATGGCTTACTTTTAATGCGTGTTTGTTGAATAATCCATGTTATATACATAGCCCATTAAGACAAGGATTGCTTATCTATAGCTTGCTGAATCTCAATTGATGGAGTTCACATGTGCAAACTCATCACATGTGTCTTAGCATGATGTATGAACTTAATCATTTACTTGTTTTCTTTTTGATTTGAAGGCAGTTACTATTGTAGGAAAAAGGCTATTGTTGACTTTTTTCCTATATATCTCCTGTTACTCATGTCCATTCAGGGTTTCCCTTTCCTGTCGAACCATGGATTTTAGGGTCCATAAGAAGAGAGAATAAGGGCATGTAAGGTTATCGTTAGTGATATCACAGTCAGTGCTTTTCTCTTAATTGGTGGGAGAATTCCTTCCTGTTACCAAAATATTTTTGTCTTATTATCTTGTACAAAATATTAAGAAAATATCCCAACAGTGGATGCCAGGCAGAAGGAGAACCCAAAAGGGGGGAGGGAAAATAGACAAACATTCCAGTCTTTCACTAAACCGAATTTATAATGTCAAAAATCTTAATATGTTGGAGAAATGAAGATAGAGATAATATTAGAGGCAAATATAAAGTTATTCACTTATGAAAGAAAGAAATCCATAGATGTAGGAGATGATAATGATATTTATGAAAAGGATCTTGCAATAAACATTGCTTGCAAACAAAATATGAGTCAGCAGTGTGATGTGGGCTGCTGCAATAGAGAAATATAGCTTTTGGATGGATCAATGAGTAATTTCTAAATTACTGGAAATAATGCTTCTCAATTCCGCAGTGGTCAGCTCTTCACCTATTGCATCCAGTTCTGGGCACTATACTTTCAGAAAGTTTCAGAGAAAATGACTGCAGTGGGCCAAGAAGATAATCTGGGAAGTAGAACATAAATTCTATGGCTAGAAATTGAAGGAGCTCAGTATGTTTAGCCTTGAGAAAAAAAAAAACAACTGGAGAGAGTATGCAGTGTTCTTCAAATATTTGAAAATACTTCACATAGAAGATGGCTAAGGCTTGTTCCAGAGCATAGGGCTCAAAATAATGCATTTAAATGATAAGGCAGGATCTGATCGTTTTAAGAGAAATCTCTCAAAGTAACCAATTATTTTCCCTTACATTGAATGCGTTCAAGTTGAGGTTGAATAGAATCTGTCTAATGGGGGATGGTCTTAATGGCCCTCCTTCCAATCCTCTGGTACTGAAGGGAGCAGTCAGAAAAGAATTCTGTCTGGAAAGGAAATCCAATCATTACCTTTGGATATTTTTTCTTTTCCATAAGCTTTCTTTTGACTGCATCACTTACTGCTCCTGGGAAAAAAAGTCTCTTCATATCTCTTTCTTTTTTTTAAGGTGTAAATGTAAATAAATACATAAAGTATGCAGATAAGGATTTATTATCTTCCAGATCTTACAAATTTGTTAGAATAAAGCCTGTCATACTGTGCTTAGTGCTCACCTAAGTAAGTTGACTCATTTGGCATGTTGTAACTTATTCCAAAATTGCTTATGATTTTCACTCATATTGAAAGAATATCAACTCCTATACTTTATTCCTCTTTTTAAATTAACTTCTTCCCAAGGTTGTGTCTTCTGTGCCTTGTCCTAAACTCACCTGGAATTAAAGCCATTGTTTTCAACGATGTCTTTATAGAATGAAAGCCAAGCACTTTCAAGCCCCCACATCTCTCTTCTATTCTGCAGCTGCTGATTGTTGTTTTTGCCAGAAAGTTTGGAAGGTTTTGGCTTTTGCTTTTTATTCAGAGTTATAAAATGATGTATTATATCTAAAATGTTTGAGGTGGAGTACTTCTTGGGCTCTATTCTTTCTTGGTTTCTCCTCTTCCGCTGTCTGTTCCCTACTCCAGTTCTGCTACAAGCAGGCAAGATGGGGAAGAGGATCAATAAAAGAGCAGGAGAGCAAGTGCCCTTGCACATTCTCCTGCAGCTTCTGATGTTAGAAGCCTTTCTGTTTGTTCTCTTTCTCCAGACTTTTATGGATTTCATTGAGATTCGGCAGGAAATTGAGATTGAAACCGAGCGGATGACTGGGACCAATAAGGTACTAACTCTGAGTTCTTTTCTCTGGTGTGTGAGTCCATTGGTCCAAATGCCTTTTTTGTGTCTTTCTCTAATACCTTTTCTTGCTTCCAGGGAATCAGTCCAGAACCCCTGTACTTGAAGATCTATTCACCTCATGTGCTTAACTTGACGCTGGTAGATCTTCCAGGAATCACCAAGGTGAGACACTTAGAAATGGTGCTCTCTGTTGCCCATGTCTTAAGGCAGACCTAGAAGTTATTGGTTATCAGTAGACTTCCCAAAGACCTTTAAAGGCAAAACTTCTTCAGCAATATCTGGGCAATATGTAGCCTTGGGCACCAATGTACCAAGTGATGGATGTCTCCTGTCTCCGATCTACCACTTTTTCCTTAGGACCACTCCTTTTAACCATTTGGTCACATTGGAGCAGAAGAAAAGCTGGGTTACAGTGATGGTGAGCAGAAGATAAAAAGAGTGTAAATGAATAACAGATGTAGGATTGACTGTTCTTAGCACACCACTATATTAGTTTCAGATAATAGTTTCCATTGAAGGCCTGACCTTTCACAGAAAAACTCCCCAAATCCTGTGGCTACAACTGGAAGGTTGTGTGGTTTGGGATAAAGTCTCTCCCCCACAGACTGGCATTATGTACTTGAGATGAAATTAGTCACCTTTGTATGGGTGATAGAAACAGTATTGGTAGCTTTGTTTTAGCTAGAGTCAGCTTCAGTGGAAAGGCATGTTTACTTGAGGTAGCCTCAGTGCTTGGCATAAATCTGGCCCTGGTCTGGAGCAAAAGAATCCCGTTTTTCTCATTTGCTTACTAAAAGCCCATGTGATTCTCTCCAAGTTTCTGCAGCTCACTTGTGTACATTTATGGTTAAAATAAATATATATTTTTCAATTGAATTCTGCAGGCAATATAAAATAGATCAACATATATGGGATGATCTTGTTTAATTTGTTTTGCTTATGCTGAGCATGGAGAAGGGGCATGTACAAACACCTCTCGGCCTTTTACAGTTTGAACCCTCCTTGACCTCGCATATCTAAATTTACTGTTGTTGCTAAATCAATTCTAAAGCATGTTTTGTTAGTTCCTAGATTTTAGGATAATGTTCTGCAGCCGTGAGGACTAGAAGCATTCTTCTTTTCAGGCCACGGAAATGTTCCTGGGTTAGATGATATGGTCTTCACTGAAGATAATACAGTTAGGAATTGGACGGGCATATTTCTTAAATATGTGCATCCATGTTTTTAGGCTTCAGATATGTGAATTCAGGAGTCCTTTTGTATCTCCAACTTAGTTCTGTTTTTCTTCCTAGAGTGAGTGATATGAATCAAGAGTCCTTGCTCCCTCTTCTCTGTTCCTCTCTTGGGTGGAAACAGAGCAGTAAACAAGAGTGCTTAGTATGGTGTGATGCAGTTTGTATTGCATTATTACCTTCTCAATTCAGAGTAATTGAGTAAGTAAACATAAGGAAGTTTCCTAAGATTGTCCTTTTCTAGTTTCATAGTAATTTTGATCTCTTTTCTTAATAAAATGTGTTACATTTTTTACATTTTGCTGCATGATACTTTAGGGCTTGGGTGACTTATAAATCTCTCAGATCCAGTCTTTGCAATATCACAGGTGCCTATTGGAGATCAACCTCCTGATATTGAGAATCAAGTCCGAGATATGATCTTATCCTACATCTCCAACCCAAACTGCTTAATCCTGGCTGTCACTGCTGCCAATACTGACATGGCCACATCAGAAGCACTCAAACTAGCACGGGATGTTGACCCTGATGGTATGACTATATTTGTACTTGAGGAGGCGAAATCAGGAAATTAGGATGATAATAGTCCATATGGAGAACCATGGGATGTTATAAAATAGTCCTCTCTTTTTGAAGCTCAGGGGAGTCTGATTTAGTAATGCCAGCAGAGCAGAGCTGAATATTTATTTGCTGTCTGAATGTTAAGATCCATTCTTAAATGATGGCTGATCAACAAGAAGGGGAATAAAGCAGATGGGTGACAGGGTGAGCTGAGGGAGCACTTTTCTCTCCTTGTTTATTTCCATTCTGTAAGATCCAGCACAATGACTTGCCCCAAGTTGCATTGGTCAGACAAGGCCATCAGAGTGGCCTAGCAAGCCTGCCTCTCTGTTGTAACAGCTGTCCTCTGGAACACCATCCCTGAAGATTTCCAATGCTCAGTCTTTTCAGACTTGAAAACCTGGCTTTTTTCCCAGGCTGTGGGATAGAATGGGGAAAACATGAGTGGGTTCCACCTGGATTAAATTATATTGGTGTATTTATAGTGTATGCTTATTCCTTCAATTGCGATCATTTTGTAGTTTTCTTGGTCTAATATACTACAGTCTTGTTTTTAATTTGTACATCACCCAGAATCTCTAATGAGTTGGGCAGTCTTAGCAATCTAAAGTATAAATACATAAATTGAATGAATGCAAAAGATATGCAGTCTTTGGAGCACACAAGGAATAAAGGAACAGCCTTTGTCACTCTTTCCCCTTCTGATATCACTAACTGGAGAAGAATTTCTCTGCAGGGCGAAGGACACTGGCTGTGGTCACCAAACTAGATCTGATGGATGCTGGGACTGATGCCCTAGATGTATTGATGGGCCGAGTTATTCCTGTCAAGCTAGGCATCATTGGTGTGGTCAACAGGTCAGTGGTGATGCATGCAGGGAACCAAAGAACCTAGAGGGGGTTCCTATGCTAGATGAAGAGGGCATCAAATTGCAAAACCTCTTCCTTGCCAGAGCAGGTTGTTGCTGGTGGGTGAATCCATCAAGCAGATTTTATTAATTGTCTAGATGATGTTTTTGCTTCCTGTGATAGGAGCCAACATGATATCAACAGTAACAAGAGCATCGGTGAATCTCTGCAGGATGAGCAAGGATTCATGCAAAAGAAATACCCTTCACTTGCCAATCGCAATGGCACACGTCATTTGGCCAAAACTCTTAACAGGTGAGAAGGGACTGGGGGGTGGTTGGGGATTAACCAGGAAATCCTAGATAGAATGGGACCCACTGCTTTAGGATGCTTGTGACTTACATGACTGTAACTTTGTTGCTTGTATCCTTGCGATTTATATTGATATTGATTGTTTCCTAGTATGATTTGATTGCTTATTGTACCGTATGACTGTCACTGGGTGTTGTGCCTTGTGATTCTTGATGAGTGTATCTTGTCTTTTTATGTACACTGAGAGCATATGCACCAAAGACAAATTCCTTGTGTGTCCAATCACACTTGGCCAATAAGAATTCTATTCTATTCTATTCTCGTCTGTATAGAAAAGAACCACTTTTGTCCTTTACTCTGAAGATGACAGCCTTTGTGGATTAGATTTAAGTCATGTTCCCTCAGCAACTCAGCAGCAGTCTCTTGGAGAAGCAGCAGCAGCAGCTTCATTCCTGATTAGACTTCCTAGCAATTGGTACTGAGAGGCTGTGACAGTTGTAAGATCTAATCATCATGATCTAGAGCGCTGAAAGCTTTATCTTTTTAGGGTTTTTTTTAAGGAAGGAACACATAGACAGCATCCCTGTCCCCAAGACTGACATATTCATTGGGCATAGGATCCGGTGCCCATAAAAATGTTTCGCCCTGCACATGCCAGCTTTAAAACAAAATCTCAAGTGTGGAGTCCTTAGTGCTCTCTGAGCATGGTTATTTGCTTGTAGATCTTTTGTTACCCAACTAGGTAACATCAGTGTGAGGGAGTGTGGGGTTTGCTCCCTGTGTTGATTTTACACAGTAGTTTGGCCTCTCAGTGTTGGTGGAGATGTACTTTTCTCCTTGGCACTTTCTTGATTAGGGTATTGTTTTCTGCTTGATTGATTGTCTGGTGGTAATTTCTGCTTATCTGGGTGAGAAGACCACACTGCTACCCACACTGGTAAGGCAAGCTACCATATAGAAACAAGGAGCAAACCACGTAATCATCAGCACTGATGATGATAATTAGTTGGGTAATGAGAGGTCTACAATCAAATAACCAAGCTCATAGAGCACCAAGGATTCCGCAGTTCAACTCTGAGCTACATTTACTCTCTTCTGTTAAAACTTCAACTAGCATTAAAATTGCAAAGTGGGAGCTAGGAATTGTAAGAGGTATTCTGGGCAGAGATGCTGGGTGTTATTTTGAAGCCACGATTGTGTGTGAGCTCCTCCTTGCCTTGCCCAGCATTTGTACATTAAAGGAGAATCCCACAGAAGTGTTTTCAACCTGAATCGCAACTTTCCAGAATACCATCCTTCCTGTTCCTAAAATCATTAAACCACTCATCAGCAGAGTACAAGTATAGCATAACACATAGAAAGTTGGAATCGACTCAGGTTTCCCTCCCCCCGATTAAATCTTGTTTAGCCAGGAAGTGAAGATTCAGTTCAAGTGAGTCTTCTTTCAATCACCTGTATGTTGGCCTGTTTTGCCTGGTATTGTCTTCTCCAACACTTTCGTTTGGTCATTCGGAATCTTATTCCTGAAAGTAGGATGCTTTCCTTAAAAGGCCAAGCTGATGCCCTTCTACCTTTTCCAGGCTGCTGATGCACCATATCCGCGACTGCCTGCCTGAACTGAAGACGCGAGTGAACGTGCTCACAGCTCAGTACCAATCAGTGCTACAGAGCTATGGGCAGCCCATTGAAGACAAGAATGCCACTTTGCTTCAGATCATCACGAAGTTTGCCACCGAGTATTGCAACACCATTGAGGGTACAGCACGCAACATTGAGACCTCTGAGTTGTGAGTGAAACCTCTAGTGAACAATATGGCGATGGAGCTGAATGTGGGATAAATAAGCTGTCAGTGGGATGCTGAGTCTGATCTGCTTCTCTGCTGGCCAGGTGCGGTGGTGCCCGGATGTGCTACATTTTCCATGAAACCTTTGGACGCACTCTGGAGTCCATTGATCCGCTGGCTGGACTTACAATGCTGGATATTTTGACAGCCATTAGAAATGCCACAGTAAGTTAATATGATCAATCCTGTTCTCCAATGCAAGGCTGTCATCCATTATCTTTTGCTTTCATCCATGTTCTCCTTTTCCAATTATATAAGTATATTGCACAAGAAAACATTATAGTGTTGGGAATTCACCTAAAATTTTGCTGCCCCTATAATTTAGAAGGGGGATGGATACAAGCCAAGTTTCCTTCCACTGCCAACTACAGTAATGGGTCATGAGATCTTGGCTTGAAGCATTGTAAGAATTAAGAGTGGTTGCCTATCCTGCTGAAAGCATGACATTCAATTGCAGTTGCTGCAGGCAAACTCTTCATTCATGTAGCCAGAAGAAGGACAACATATTCCCAAAATGTACATGCTTTGGTATATATCTGTGGGTATTAGTATTTGTAGTTTCCAAGCAAACACCCAAGCTGTTAAAGCCAGTGAGCCAATAGAATGGATCTTGTCTCCAGCTTCAATAACAATAGAAGACTTGATAGAGGATTAACAGTTGGAAGGGACCTTAGAGGTCTTTTAGTCCGAATTCCTGTTCAAGCAAAAGACCATATACCATTCTGGACAAATGGCTGTCCAGTCTCTTCTTAAAAGCTTCCAGTGATGGAGCACCTACAACTTCTGGAGGAAAGCCGTTCCACTGGTTAATTGTTCTGTCAGGAAATTTCTCCTTATTTCTAGGTTGGTTCATTATCCAGTTTCAGTTGTCATTCAGTTTCTAATAAGAGATGTTTTGGTATAGCAGAAGGAGGAGAGTAGTGGGAGCGAATCTGTCTGTCCCAACTTAGAAGTAGGATAGAAGAAGGCAACCACTCTATGCTTTCTTGGCATATTTAATTTCTCCCAAGATGTCCAGTTCTATATTAAGTCCCTTTTTTGCTACTACATGGAATGTCAAGAGCTGGCCTTTCTCATGCAGGTTGTCTTCTGTACCTTTGGTACAGTATCAATTTGTTCTCCTGGAAGCCACTATGCTGTCTAAATTATAGAAGAAGTCACTGCTTAAAGGACATTTTGTTGACTGGGCAATGCTATAGCTAAACTTCAGCCCCGTCACATGAGGCAGGAACAAAATGCACGGTAAAGTTAGCAACACTGGAAGTGTGTATTTGATGTTAGGCCAAGTTTGGGGAGACTGAGCTACTTAGAACTTTAATTGATCGAGTCTCTTCTGCATAGAATTTTTCCCCGCCACCAGTTTTTGAAGATGCTTCTCCATCTCTCTGGCAGGGTCCCCGCCCAGCTCTTTTTGTTCCTGAAGTCTCTTTTGAGTTGCTGGTGAAACGTCAAATAAAGCGATTGGAGGAGCCAAGCCTTCGCTGTGTGGAGCTCGTGCATGAGGAGTTGCAGCGCATCATCCAACACTGTACCACCTACAACACACAGGTACTGTCTCGCTTGGCCTGTGATCAACCAGCCTCCATCCCCAGAAGAAGGGAAGGGCTCTTGAGTGGGTTCTGGAGCGGCATTCCGAGGCATGTGAACTCTCAAGGACTGTTTGTCATCTTTCCAAATGCCCAACTGTTACAAACTTTTTAAGAGAGCATCCTTCAGTGAGGGAAAGTTCCAATATACAGATGATCCTCAACTTACAACCACAATTGAACCCAAAAACTTTGTTGCTCAGTGGGACAGTTAAGTGAGTTTTGTCTCACTTTACTACCTGTCTTGCTGCAGTTGTTAAGTTAGTAATGTGATTGTTCATTGAAATTTGACTTTGCTTGTCAAAAGGTGGTGACATGAGCCCAGGACACTGCAACCGTCATAAATATGAGTCAGTTGCCAGGCTTCTGAATCATGATTACATGGCCATGGGGATGCTGCAATGGTTGTACGTGTGAAAAACGGTTGTCACATTTTTCAGTGCCATTGTAACTTCAAACGGTTACTAAATAAATGGTTGCAAATTGAGGACTACCATAATCAGTTGGTCTTACAAGTTAAGTAGGAAAACATGTTTACCTAAATAAATAAATATAATTTTCCATCAGATCAGTTGTCATTGAAGAAACACTTTACTGGGTGGTCTGTAATGGCTTCTCTTAAGGATCCACTGGTAATTTTGCCCTCCATTTATTTTCAATGTCAATGTGACATGCAGTGATGCATGTCACACTGACTGTGATAATACAGATAGTAGTTTAGACCTCTTGATTATTTTAATGTTTTAATCTGTGCATAACATACAGAAATATTTAAAAAAACTTAATTGGGGAATCCATTTTAAGCACTGTAAGCTTTCCTTCCTTCCTTCTTTCCCTTCCTTCTTTCTCTCTAGATATGTGTGTGTGTGTAAAGCTTACAGTGCTTAAAATGGATTCTTCAAGGCATTGTCTTATTTGTCTGTCTGTATCTTTAGGAGTTGCTGCGTTTTCCCAAGTTGCATGAGGCCATTGTGGAGGTGGTGACAGGAGTCCTTCGCCGGAGGCTGCCCATCACCAATGAGATGGTATTTGGGGCTTTTTTGCTATGAATAAAAGTATGGAATGGTCCTTGCTGCTGCACATTTCTTCCAGAGGCTTTGAAGCTGGTGGGCGTATCTGGAATTTAGAGTAGTATATACACTCTCATATGGCAGCTGTTGTGGTAGACATGGCTAGTCTGAAACCACCACACAGCAAAGTAATAAAGTTGCACATTATTGCTGCCTCTACCTATTTCCTACTATGAGCCCAGAATGTTGTCTAATGTTTCAGCTAACTGCAATGTTGTCTGGGGAGTTGAGTATACTTCCAAATAACGTATTGGGTTATTTCTATTTTTTATGAACTATTCTGGGCTCCTTATGAGGCCTAGAACTAGTATTGGAAATAAACATGGTATTTAAGCCTGATGTTTTGTTTTGGAGATCTTGGGCATTATTGAACTTGGATTATTGAGCCCAGTGCCACCCACCAGATACCTTAGGCCTAATAATGCCTCTCTCCTAGGTGCATAACCTGGTTGCCATTGAGCTGGCCTACATTAATACCAAGCACCCTGACTTTATAGACACAGCACTGGTCTCTGCCTCAGTGAGCAGTTCTAAGGTAACTTTTCATGGATGCCCTCTCCCCTGTCCTTAATGTCTATCTTTGTCTTAACTTGCAGCTTAATCTTGCATTTCTTCCAATCTAGAGTGACACTGCTATAGATGGTACCTGGCGATGGAAAAGTGAGAAAGTAGAAGAATCTGGCATTGATGATAGGCCTAAAGGATCCTCCCACTCTTTGATCTATTCTAGCCCCAGCCGGTCCCATGAAGTCAATCTACTGGACACGGTCAGCTGGGATAAACCTGGGAGGAATAGGGAGGAAGAAAGCAGGTGGGCTGGCTAGAACTTAAGCTGCTTTTAGGAGCAAAGAATGTTGCTAGGCGTTGCAATGCAGGAACATAAGGATGAATTGGAAGAAGTGCCAGTATTTGCATTAGAGGTACATGATCTTACCTTTAGGTCATTGCTTTCTGCCCCTATAATGTAGACAACTTTGGTTTGTATTTATGTGGCAGGATGGATTACTGTAAAAGGGTACATCAGAATAAGAGAGTTGGAAGGGACCTTGGAGGTCTTCTGATCCAACTCCCTTTCAAGAGGAGACCTTATACCATGTTGGGGAATAGATATTATCATCTCAGCCAAGGGTGTAGAATCTTGAGTAGCTGCTCTCCCAGCTAAACTGCCATTGCATTTGGTGAACACTGCTCACAGCCATTTCCCCTGCCTCTCTCTAGCCCATGCCAGCAACGCGGAAGTTAAGCCAGCGTGAACAACGAGACTGTGAGGTAATCCGGAGGCTTATTAAATCCTACTTCCTCATTGTGCGCAAAAGCATCCAGGATAGGTAAGTGGGTTAACAGGAAAATTAGGGTAAGCATTAGTGACTTGAGCTGTGGCATCTGGATTTAGTACTCCTTCAGAAATGGATTTTCTGCTAGTGGAAGTTTGAGACTAACCTAACTAATAGATTTTATGCAACTCCTTGTAGAAAAATTAAGACTTTGGCCATTTTTGAATGAGAGGACAGCCTTTCTTCCTCAACCCAACCCCTTAAATGTTGTTTGGAGGTTTGGGAAACTGCTGTTCTCAAAATTCTTGGTCAGTTTCTGACAAATTTTCTGTAACTCCAATACACATGTGGTTTCTTGTTGCTATAATCAGAATATTTCATCTTCTGTAGGCACATCAGTTTCCATATGTAGTTCAAAGTATTTTGAATAACAAAGCATAACTTGAGAAGTACTACAGATGGAGATTATCGAAAGTACTACAGATGGAGATTACTATAGCAAAAGTGCTATAGTAATCTATTTCTGCTAGCAGTAGGAAAGATGAAATTATAAACAATAACCGTCAATAAAGAAATTGGGGATTTTCTTTTAAAAACCTGTGTCCAAATCAATTTATCTGCTTTTCATCCTGTAGTGTACCCAAAACCGTGATGCACTTCCTTGTGAACTACGTCAAGGACCATCTCCAGAGTGAACTTGTGGGCCAACTGTATAAGCCCCAGCTTCTAGACACACTCCTAACAGAGTCCGAGGACATGGCACAGCAGCGTAATGAGGCTGCCAATATGCTCAAGGTGATGGAGGGCAGGGTTGCTAGAGGTCAGCTCTGGTTCAATGATGGCCAAAGAAAAAACGTGTTTCTGGCTCATCGGGAGCAGAACCAGTTTGCTGCTTTAAATCCTTCCCCAAACTGGAAGCAGCAACAATTCTTTCCCTAGAGTCTGAAAATGGCGGTGTTCCAATCTTTTAAAAGCCTTAAGCACCCCAAGTAGCCTTCTCCACCTTGGCTCCCTCCATGTGTTATCTAGCTTCAGTTCTGAGACAAGGTGGTGTAAGGTTGGGAAAGACTGGCCAAGATGCCAGGACCTATTCCAAATTCCATTACCACCAGTTTTTTTCAAATCAGTGACAAACCACCCACTTCTCAGATAGCTAGTTGACAAGTATTTTAACTTTGTGCATACAGTGCATTAATTTTCAGTACCACACTAATGAAGTGTGATACTGATCCCTATGCTGATTAGTTGTCATGTCCAAGTCCTCAGCCAAGTCTTCTGCTCTTTTGTAGGCATTACAGAAAGCCAGCCAAACAATATCAGAGATCCGAGAGACTCAGCTCTGGTGAGATGCATTCAAAGCTTCAGAAGATTCCATGTTGCAAGAACGTTACTCACCCAGAACCGTGCAAGTGTTCAGCTCTTGACTCCCATCTGAATCTTTACCGTTTCCCAAATGGGGAAATCATCCTCAGTGATCAAGTTCTAGTTTAGAACAAGAGTGTGTCCCTATTTTAACTGTGTTGAAGTGTCCGTGGTGCACGGATAGCATTTTGGAGCCGGCATATGGTGGCTCTCCCCTGCTACCTCATCCGTCTTCCATATTTTTCCAGTTTTGCTAGATTCACTGGTATTAAATTCCTGTTTTGATTGTCAAGCTTGCAGCCTTGAGTACTTGCTGAGTTTGGCCAATCTTTATTTATGGCAGATTTAATCTCACTCTAAATTCTATGTATTTCCTGAACATGGTGCATTTGGTACATGTATTGAAATGAAACCTCTTGTCTGTGTTTGCTTAACTGTTAGGAACACACTGCTCTGTATTTGGCCTTGTAAATGCCTTTTATTCTCGTAAACTGCTGTACAAGTAAAAAGAGGAGCCTCTTGATAGATTAAAAATGCCTGAGTAACCTTGAATAAGAGAAGTGCTTGACTAGAGGGATTCATCTACTCTGGCCCAAACAAGGAGCTGATAATGCTGGATCTCACTCTGGACTGTGCTTTCACAAAACATTTTATCCAGGAGTCATGTGCAATAGTGTCACTTGTGGGAGGAGCCTTCACCTGCTCCTGGATGCTTGAGGGGTAGGGGTGGGAATCTGAACAATTCCCAAGTTTGCACGTATCTGAGCCAAGCAGGGACCAGGGTTGGCCTGTAAATTTTCATGAAATAAACAGTGGAAGATTGCACAGTTGGTGTGTCTTGTTTTCTTTAATGGAAATCAAAAAAGTTGATAATTATAAGTTCCTATTAGGGTGCCTGGATCACAACAGCCATCCAAAAATACAAAGTGCTGATGCTGGGCTTAAATTCTACATCCCAGAAGAAGGGACTAGAAAGCAAAATGATTTGAATGTGTTACAAAATGGATTTTTAAATGCTGTTGTAGGATATGGAATAAAAGTCAAAATATCCATCTGGGGAATCTGAATGAATTTGATTGACAAGGATCGAGTTTTCCTTACACAAGCTGTCCAGGGATAAGTAAGCCATAACTATAAAGGAAAATATTTGTAGCTCAGGGTTGAAATGAGTGATAACCTGATGGTCTGGTTCATACATCATGTAAATGTCTTTTCAACATTCAGCAGTTAGTTCAAATTGGTGTGCAAAATTTCTGTGGCATTTTGGGGCTGGGGTTGCTGCTTTAAGTGGTATGGTGACACGTGTTTTTTCTTGTGTTATCCCTTGTGCTTAAAAAGATGGTTAACTGACACCAGAGTTGTTTTTTCATATTTTGCTGCTAGTTGGATGGATGAGTGGAGACTGTTGTCTGCAGCACCCTCTGTAAACAGGTGGCTTGACACTTCTGCCCTTCTGGATGGCAGCCATTTCTGCTTGTAGGTGCACATTCCCAAAAGATAGACTGGGCTTAGAAAAACTGCACATTATAAGGATTATTGTGAGGGGGATCCATTGATAGGGGCTGCTCCCCTACAGCCTGAGCGGGTACAGCTTATAGGTTAGGTGGAAAATGCTACTAAAAACAAGCTCACAGCTGGCATCCTGAAGGCTGGAAGGTCTGTTGAATCAAGCTTCACACACTCAATTTGCTACATGACTAAGTTAGGCAAATAACACACAAGACAACCCTTTTTCACACAGCAAGGACATTTGATCAGTTTATGAAGCATCAAATATACATTTTCATATATACAAAGTGGAACTGATTGGGTGGGTGGGGGAGAAGGAAAGGAAACAAAAATACAGTCAATCTGAGAGAAGGAGCAGAGGGGAAGCCCCATGCTATAGAAAATACATGGGCTGGAGACACCACCCCCCTCATAAAGGCTGGTATTTATAATATATATTATATACATGGAAATCTGTACAGCAACAAACCCAACACAGGAAGTGCAGTGCAGGGCAAGGACAAAGTGCATGCTTGGGGGTGGGGCACAGGGTAGGAAGACCTGACATGGGGTGTGATGTGGGGAAGAGGAGGAACCCAGGACTTTGCAAGGTGGCACACAGAGGCCTGAGCTGCCACCTGATAAAGATTCCTGGCTTCTCTCTCAAGGCTGTGGAGCATAATTGGTTGGCAGAGGGCAATGAAGCCTAGTGCTTCAAACATGTGGGAGTCAAGAAACCCGTAAGCCTCCTGAGACCCTCTACCATTTGCTCCTCTCTAGTCTTCCCCCTTCCTCAAAAGAGTGAGAAAAATCTCACCTTTCACTCAACTGGCTCCCCTTAGAGCAGTCATTTCTGTAAGTTTAGCAGGGCGCTTGAGCAGGGCCTATATAGGCCACAACAAGCCATTACGCCAAGCTTCTCCCTGACATTCTCTGCATCACTGACTGAGCAATAATCTTCCTACCTCTGACTGGGGAAGATGGCAGTGGTAATTCAGAGAATCAAGAGGGCAGCGGGTGCAGCCAGCTGGTTGAAGTAATTTTTAGCTTGGGCAACCTCTGAGGCTAGCCTAACTTTCTGCAGCCAGTAGCACTAACCTTCAGAGGTGGCTAGTCTGCATTTTGGTATGGGTTACTGCTCTACTTCCCTCTTCTAAGCTAGGGGAAAAAATAGTGTGCTTCTATTATTAGAAATCTGGGGAGCACCTCTTTGCATTTTATTAAGCAATAAAATAATTTCTTCCATCCAAAATCCATAGCATCTCCTTAAAAATATAAAAACAGGCACTGTTAATTCAGGCATCATTTCCTTACTTTCTGAAATGATGACTTGATATCGTTAATCCAGCCTTTTCTCTCTTTGTCTAAAACAAGAAGACCTAGGAGGAGGCCCACCTCTTAACTTTACTAGGCAAGGTAGGTGAGTGGCAGAACAATGTAGCACCTCGAGGGAAGGAAGAAGGTGAGGTCTGGATGTGCCCCGTAAGCTGGATTTGGGGCAGCAGAAACTGGATGCCATCTTTTTCTGGAAACACAGCGCACAGGGATTAAAGTGCATCTAACTTCCCAAAGGAACTAATTGGGAGAGAATTCTACTCTACCTCTCCATTACCAGGCATTAATGCACTGAGTGGATGAAGAAACAATTTAGGAGAAAAGCGATCACAGCAGTTTATTCTCCCCTCTCCAATTCAATTAGGGGTGGGTTCATAAAGCCCAAGAATATAGAAGTCTCTATCTTTAAAAACAGATTCAGTGCAAACCCCAGAGCAGGGGTGAGGAGAAGAAGGGAGTAAAAATAGCCCTTTATGAATAAGAACTGAGAGGGCAGGACACATTCCCTTCCCGTGTCCCAGACTTCTCCATACTTTGGACTCGTCTCTTCCCCACAGATCCTTCACATCTCCCATCTGAGTCTCTTTCCTTTCTCTACTTGAAACAGCAGAAACTGACAAACTCTGCAAATTACCAAGACAGCCTCTCTTCACCACCTCCTCAAAAGGGCAGAGGGCCCCAAGGACTCATCAGCTCCACATGCTGCAGGTGACTGACGATGTATCTTTCTCTCTATAGATTAAGTCAACAGGTAAGACAGCTTTCAAGTGGAAGAGCCTATTTTCTAAAACACAAAGTATTTGTCTAGTAATTCCCTCAAGGGCAAATTGAGGGAAGACCGATTGAAAGTACCATATTTTTCAGAGTATAAGACGCACCGGAGTATAAGACCAGCTTAGTTTTTGAGGAGGAAAATGGGGGGGGGGGGAAATCGGCCTATCAGGTATTCATCTGGCTAGCGTCCTTAGTCTGGTCAGTTTCAGCACATTAGTTTGCTGTTTTTTTATCCCCTGTTTGGGAATAAAAAACAGCTTCTAAGGCACAGCTGAGAGGAAGCAGCAATGAGAAAAGCAGGCAAAGCACGGGGAGATCGCTTCACTTGGCTAGCCCCTGGTTAGGGCTGAAAAAAAGCTTCTAAAGAACAGCTGAGAGTCGGAGAAAAGCATGGAGATAGCGAGAGTCAAGGAAAAGATCGCTAGCTAGTGCCTTGTTAGCGTATTAGGGCTGAAAAAAAGCTTCAACAAAGCTACATTCAGAATATAAGACGCACCCAAATTTTCAGCCTCTTTTAGGGGGGAAAAAGATGTGTCTTATACTCCAAAAAATACGGCATCTAGGACACCAAAACACAGAAGCATCTTTGAGAAGCAACCTGCACAAGGGGCACGCTGATACCCACAGTGCTGAAGAAATGTGTAGTTACCATATGTGTAGTTATTTTTTTCAGATATAATAAAGCACCTTCCTGAGGTTTTCTGTGGTAATGGAACCACCCCCTTTGACAGAGACAGGAAGGCACACTCCCATCAGCACTAATATCAAAGTCAGAAGTTACTTGGCAACAATAGTTGCTTAACACCACAGCAGCTCCATGCCACAACCAGGTGTATGAAAGTGGGTATTAAATAAAACTGCCTTGAAATATTGTCAAGTCATGGCAATAAAGAACATTTTAGGTGAAAACGGGCAATATGAGCTTTTCCTTGCTTGTTATATTCTACAAGAAGTGGCTGCTTTTCCCTAAATAAAGACAGATGATTGGGGAAAATGGAGGCTTATGAGGAGTTGCAAGGGGAAAATGACAGATTTGAGAAGGGCTAAATTCCTGGTTCCTGCTGTTACACACAAATTCTGTGCCACTTTGCAGAATTTGGCAATGAATAAAGTGTTTTATGCAGCCCCAAAACTTCATCTATGGTCTTTAGAACTCTGTTCTACTTTCTGCATTTACAGGGCTGTTTGCTATGACAAAAAGTGAGTTCATGGTCCATAGGACCTATTAAAAAGTGGGTTAATCAGACTGAAAACATATTTTTGGGGGGTAAATCAGAAAAAAAAAAGAGAGATTCTTCTTCAGTCATTCTTCTGAGTAAAAATTACCACTAGAAAGGAGGATTCATAAATGCCATTTGCAGTTTAAACATGACACACAGAAGGCAGCCACAGGAACAATCTGCTACCTGTTAAAATTTTAAAAATACAAAGCTTTTATTCTTATCAGAAAATTCTGGGGCCAATGAGAGAGAAAAGAAAAGAGACTTCTGAAAAGTCTTGTTTGGATTAGTGCTTTCTGGGGAGAGAGTCTGAGCAGAAGAAAACAGCTTCCTCTGCACATTAAAAACCACCACTGGGCAAGATTGCCTGGGAGACTAGCAGGTATCCCACATACAGCAGATAGTATGATTATCTCTGCCCATTTCTGACAATGGGAGCACGTAGCAAAATCATATGACTGATTCCTTCCTTCCTTCCTTCCTTCCTTCCTTCCTTCCTTCCTTCCTTCCTTCCTTCCTTCCTTCCTTCCTTCCTCCTTTCCTTTCCTTTCCTTTCTTTTCCTTTCCTTTCCTTTCCTTTCCTTCCCTCTCCATCACCCCATCATGAAGTCATGCTATCAGAAAAGAATTTGCTGCCCCCAAACACAAAAGTTACTAAAAGTTGGGATGATAAATTTTACCTGTTTGGCCATACTCCTAAGACAACACAAACAGACACTTGCTTTCCCCAACACTGCAGCTTATACTTCTGCCACCCACTGTCACCACAAAACTACCATGCTGTCCACAGATGCTCAGAAAAAGATGGTAGGAGCGGGGACAGATGACCCGCAAGGAAGAGAAAAGAGGCAGAGCTCCCAAAAGCAAAGCCCATGTGAAGCTGTACCCCCCTCAGGCCACGCACGGCGTTGCAGGTCCAGGTTTTCTTCCTTTCCAAGGGATGCCCTCTCTCAGTTCTGATCCTAGGAAAAAGAGGGATGGGATGTGGAGTGGGGAGGAGGAAAGGGAATGGCCATAAAATCTAGACACCCTCCTGACCTCCATCCTTCCCCATCACTTCAGCTGGAACAGGGGAGGCCCCAAGCTCTGTTATTTATATATTTATAGATCTGCTATCAGTTCCATTGTGGTGGCAGTTGTTCACACAACGGTGCTGATTCTGTTGACCGGCTTAGGCTTGGGATTTGGGGGCCCTTGAGCAGGCATGGGTGGAGGAACCCCCTGGTGCATGGGCATGTGCTGGGCCAGAGGGGACGTAGGAGCAGCCGGAGAGTGGGGGCTGAGAGGCGTATGGGGTGATGGAGGGGGAAGAGGTGGGTAAGAAGGATGCGGGGGAATGGGAGAATGAGGCGGGGGCATTGGGGGTTGGCTGTGGTGTGGCTGAGGATGGCCATGATGCCCAGGATATGGCCCCATGCCAGAGGGTGGCGGAGGCCGCTGTAGGAGCTGTGCGGGATGATGGCTGAAAATAAAGTGCTTTGGGGCCTGCTGCCTGTGCAGGGTGTGCTGACCACTGATCCCCGACTGATGCAGCTGCTGGGGGTACGTGTGGGCCAGGGCATGCTGTGGGGCAGGGCTGTAGAGGGGCAGCGGTGAGATAGGCTGGCGCCCATGAGGGAAGGGGGGGTGCTGGGCAGCAGCAGCAGCCATTTGGAGGCGCTTCTGCTGCCCAGGCCGACCGAGAGTGTAGTGGTGGTGGGGTTGTGGGGTAGGGAAAGCGGGCACTGCCTGCTTCTGAGGGGGAGCTGAGAGAGGAGGCTGCTGGGAATGGTGGTAGCGCTGCATCTGAGGTGGCAGAGGGTTGGAGGGCAGGGCCAGAGGTGGGGGTGGGGGTGCTGGCTGCTGAGGGGGAGGGGGCTGCTGGGGGTAGGGGGGCGGCGGCTGGGCAGAGGGGCCATGGCAGTACTGGGCATGGAGTGCCTGCAGCTTAGACTGGCTGACGTCAGGGAGGGAGGGGTGGCTGTGATGTGGGTGGTGCTGGGGCAGATGATGGTGAGATGAAGAGGCCGAAGAAGAGGATGCTGAGGCCTGGCTGGGGGGAGTCTGGAAAGGGCCCTTCCCACGCTTGCTGCCAAACAGGGAGCCCAGGAAGGAGGACGAATTCGAGGGGGGGCGAGGTTGGGGCTTGTATTCCTCTGGAGGAGGTGGTGGTGGCGCCCTCTGATGGGGATGTGGGCTGCTAATGATAGACCCCTGGAGGACACAAGGGATGAGGGTGGAAAGGCAGAAGAAAGAGGAAGAGAAGGGAGAGAAAGACGGGGCATTAAACAACCGGTGTCTATAAGCCTAGGCCAACAGTCTGGACTTCCCTAGATTTGCTCAATCAGGCTTGGCTCAAATCCAAGTAAAAAGTTCTGGGAAAGGAAGTCAAGGCTCCCAAAGCAAGGGAAGGACTCGCATGCTCTTTGACCTCCCTCCGGAGGTGGGCAGAAAAGAAGAGACAGAAGCTGCAAGGCAGAAAGCGGGAGAAGGACAGGGGGACCCCACCTGCATCCCTCTCCTCCCTCCTCCACCCATCCTGGGCTGGTTTTCCTCTAGCCCACTTACTTCAATTGTGCTGTCCAAGGATCCCACGCTGTTACGGCGGCCCCGCTTGCCTGCAACAGAGCAGGGATTAGCGAGACCTGAACTTCACCCCTTCCCCATTGCGCCAACCCTCCAATTTTGAAGGCGAGGGGGAAGAAAGTCCCCCCATCCCATCCCACCAAAGCAGAGCAGCAGAGCAAAGGCAGAGTTAGCAGAAGAAAAGAGGGAAACAGTGTCTTGCCCTTGTTCACCTCCTTTTAGTAACAGAGCAGGCCTCTTCTACTGCAGTAAAATTACTTGGGTTGGGGTACACAGATATCGTGCACCCATCACCCCCAACCTCTGCACTCCTGAGACTCAGAGTGCAACTACATTTCTTCCTCACTCAAAGTTTGGAAGAGAGAAAGAGATCCATCCATCCATTCATCCATTCACCAGCTATTTGATAAATTCTTACATTCCAAAATCCTGGGGATTTCTTATTCCTGAATCGGTTTTATGGAAGAGAATTAAATGGTGGAAATCTTTTTCCAGGCATAAAGGATGTTTTTTTAACCAGTAGAGGGAGCCATAACAATTATATTTTGGGGATAAACTGATTTCTGGGATGGAATTAAGTTAAAGTTTGAATGGAGCTGGGTTTTTAAGAGAGCTGTGACAGAGCCAGTTTTAACAAATTCAAGTGCTAAAACCTTTTCCTTGGCTGCATTGCTCCAGCTTAAAGGTGGTGATGGGTGCTCCATCTTGCAAAGCTCCCCTCATGCAAAATCTTCCTGCAAGTAGAAACCTAGGAAGCCAAGGGAGAAAGGTTCAGTCTGAATTTCTCCCTATTTTTTTTTTACTTGCAGGGATTTCTCTTGTTCATAAGAGAGCATCTGAAGTAAACAACAAGGTGGCCAATCAACAGCCAGGATCCCACAAAGCCCACAAATGCTACCAAAACCTGGTGGCATAGTAACACACCATTTTGAGGTAGCGTATGTATATTCATAGTTAGGTACAAAAGAGGCTTTTTGTAGTGTTAAACATTAAGAACACTTTAAATCCCCCTCTGCCAATCCCGGAAAATCAAAAAAGAAATATCAAGTCTGTTGATTTAGCCAAGAGTCACAGCTCTGCTCACTGTGGCCCTTGGCTTCCCCAAAATAGTTGTCCACGCTCAATCTAAAACCTGAAGGAATACAGTCTAGGAAGTGTCCCGGAAGGTTCTGTCAAATGCATATATTGGCTCAAATTCTGGAACCCAGAACCTGGATACCAGAAGGGCAACTAAGCATTTCCACCTGCGTTCCTAGAGAGGCCTCCAGGACACTGATGATGTCATCTGCTACATTCTGCCACACTTTTCCGTTCCGTGGAATCTGGTGATATTCATCATAGGTTCTCCTCAGCATAAATGGAGAAATTCTGGTTCTTTCCTTATCTTCATCCCAGCCCTGAGCCTCCCACGGTCTCTTCTCCTAGAGCCATAGAGAGAACCTAGAGTCCTGAACCCCTGTCCCTCACCAGCATCAGAGAGGTCACGCAGGGAGCTATTGAGGGCACTTCTCTTCAGGCCCTCTCCCATAGTATAGGCATCCTCTAGACTGCTCCGGGTCAGGGTGCCATTCATGGTGTCCTTGGGCCCAGAAGAGGGAGAGGCGTTGGGGCGCATTACTCCTTTCTGCTTTTCAAGCTCCGCTGTGATGGAAGAATAAGATAGAAGCAGACTGGTTATTTACAGATCTTAGGCTGGTGCCTCAGCCTTGAATGACAGAGCGGCTGCATTTCTGATTAATAATGATACAGTCCAAAGACTACATTTGGAAACAATAGACAAGTACCATAAATATTTGTGAAATATCATCCCACATAGAAGGGCAGTGACTTCTAATTATAGGAAGCTTATGCAATATTCCCACCTGATTTCTAAGCTTTCAAGCACATGCCCATTTTCAAATACATTCCTTGTAATAACAAATCTAGACCAGTGATGGCAAATCTTTTTGCCGTCGCGTGCCAAAAGTGGGGGGAGCACGGGGGGGTCACACATGCGCGTGCCCACACCCATAATTCAATACCCCCCGCGCATATGCATGCAACCCCCCCACGCTCCCTCCGTTTTTGGCACAAGATAGCACAGTATGCCCATTATTCGCCCTCCCCAGGCTCCAGAGGCTTTCTAGGAGCCTGGGGAGGGCGAAAACGCCCCCCCCCCTCCGAGGCTCTCTGGAGAACAGGAACAGCCTGTTTCCCAACTTCCGGTGGGCCCGGAAGGCCGGAAAATCAGCTGGCTGGTGCACGCATGTTGCTGGACCTGAGCTAGGGCAACGTTTGTGTGCCCGTAGATATGGCTCCGCGTGCCACCTGTGGCACATGTGCCATAGGTTCGCCATCACGGATCTAGACCATAGCAATTCCTCACTTACATTCCACACGGTATTTCTCCATCTCTTGCACTTCAGCGATGGACTCCCGCAGATCACTTGTGAAACGCAATCGATCCTGCAGACTGGGGGCATTGAAGATGATCAGGACTTTTCGTTCCCCACCGGGGACAGCTGAGAGTAGTTTAATCCCATACTGGTAATCTGGTTGGAAGAAAGTCAGATGCTGGGTGATGATGAGCCCATTGCAAAGCAAGGACAACAATCATGAAATAGGTCAGTGATGGGTTATTCCTGAAGGGTCAGCCCAAGAATGAATGAATGAAGGATAATTAATAGCAAAGAGCAAAGGCTCTTCAGAAGCTGGCTCACAGTAGGAAAGATAAACGTGCCTGCCCCAGCTGGACAATTCCAGGCTAGTTTGGGTCGCATTCTCAGCCTGCCTGGGAAGCACAGAGCAAGAAAATTCTGGATAGGTAGGGGATCCAATGAATCTGTTGTTGCTGTAGTAGGCACTGAAGGGCCAACAAGTCTTCTTTAAAGGGGACTTTAAGGATCAAGATGGGGAGAAGGCGAAAGATTATAATTGGAGCAGGTAGTAATGTATCATGGGGTCTGAGCCCATAGAGAGGTGACTATAAGGCCTCTCTGTTGGGAATTCAGGCAGGGACACTCACAGGAATTCTGAAAGAGCTGTAGCTGCATCTCAACAAGTGGGAAGCTCTGGCGGAAACTGTAGGTCACAAGGATCTTCTTCTTCTGGAAAATCTTTGTCACCTGAATATCATTGGCCATAAAGGGTTGATGTTGGGGAAAAGAGGATCAATAGGGAGGAAAGAGAACCATGAGTCAACCACCATGCTTCGTTTTCTAATCTAGAGCACACTGAAAAAATAAAATAACACGTTTATTGTATGTAATACTAAAGTAAAATGGAATCTCCTTTCATATGACTGAACACAACTGACTCTAATGTGGCACTTTTTTTTAAAAAAAAAGTGCCACATTAGTCAGTCCAGTATTTCCATCTCACATTAGTCATAAACTATATAAAATGAGTGTCTAATTCATCACACATTTTCACAGCAAAATGGGATGTTGCTCCACGGTGGAAGCCCTCGTTGATTTCTCTCTCAGACACAGCCTTGAAATTCTAACTTTTAAATTACTTTTTTTAAAAAAATAATTTTACAACACTATGATGGTACTACCAGTCCAATGCCTTTCAAATGGGCGTGAATTTTTAAAGTTTTTTCTCCTCAAAGGGTCCCTTTCCTTCCCAGTATGCCATTTTACCAGAAAGCCTATTTCCATTTATTCTTATCCATCAATCTATCTCCAGCATTGAAATACTCTCAGTACTTCCTCTGTGACGTTGGCTCAACTAGGAAGGCAAAACAGAAAAAGAGATCCAGGATGTGGCAAGCCAGCAAATGGCCCCACTTGATAGAAACAGAGGCTTTCTAGGCCCCTTTGTTTCTCGACAATCCCCATCTTCTTCCAAGCCTTTCATCACCTGGGCTTTTCAAAAGTTTTGCATGAGAAGACGGAAACTTTCCCAACTCTATCCCCAAAGAAGCTGAGTTCCCTCACCACCCTTGACCTTACCACTAAGAGGTCATTGAAGAGGAAGACTTCCCTCTGGTGCAGGCCAAGCCTCTGGGGCCGGTTGGGGTCGGGGACCTCATACAGCTGGCAACAGCACACCAGGCGCCTATGGGGCAGAGAGAGAACCTGGTGGGATAGAGAGGAAGAACATGCTGGGAGCAGAGCTGGAAAATAAGTGCTTGGAAAGCTCTCTTTGCAAACCACAGTCAACCACCCCTGAAGACAGCTTCCACTCACCGGCTTTTTGCCCACAATCATGCGCTCGACTGCCTGGACCTGAGAAACGTGATCATCATTTGTGCGCAGTTCTCGGCTCTGAATCCGCTGGTAAATCCCTACCAAGAGGTCACGGGGAATATCCTCCCCATTATCAACCCCTGGCAAAGAAACCAAGAGGGGGAGTCAACAGAGAACAGAAAGGCCAAATTTAGTCTGACTAATAATACCATAACCACACATATTATATGTTTTAGGCCTTGTAAGCCAGTCACGGCCTTATGCCTCAGCCTAATTTAAAAAATGAGTTTTGCAAGAAATTCATTCAGATTCCTGCAAGAGTTATCTCACAGGTCCTGGGCAGCATATCAGTAGGGTGGGATAGGGAAAAAGGGAAGGGGAGCAACAATTACCACAAAGAAAATGAAAATGAGTGACCTGTGCAATAAGTGTTGGTTTTACATCATTTACCTCAACCCTGCCCATTGCCATCATAAATTACATACTGACAAAAAAAATGTTTTCACACACAAAAAAACTGTTCAAAATAAATCCACATATCATTTTCAAAGCTACAACAGCCCTGACAGGCTAGTACAATTTCCATATTGGGAACTGTGAGAATATATACTCCCACCAAAGAGTCTAAGGTAAATTTCAGGAATTGCACCCAAGGTGCAATTCTTTGTTCTATTTATTTTTTTTTATTTTTGGGGGGGGGATTCAATTAATTAATTAATTAATTAATTTTTATTAAACAGTTTGTCTTTAAAAACAACATTCTATTCTATTTCTATTTGCAGGTCTTTTTGTGATCCCCCCCACCCCAAAGTTCCTTCTCCTATTCTTCTGTCTACTGCCACATCCACTATCTATGTTTTTTTGTCTTTCTTATCAACAAATGTTAACTCTGGGGTGTTATGGGGCAGGTGCCTGTCTGTTTGAATTCTAAAGTCCCAGAGTACTTTAGCTTCTTCATTTTCTATTATTTTCACTATTTTATGGTCCCATCAGTTCTTGCTTGCAGGTATTTCTTGGAGATATTCCAATGCACCATTTCTGCTACTTTCTCATGCTGTTGTCAGTCTGTGTGCTCTTCTTGCACACAAGATTCGATAGGTGGATAAAAATGCCAAATCCAGTTTAAACATCTGGCTGACCATGCCACCAAACCTAATAATCATAATCCTATCCAATTCAGCCATGGGCAACATTTATTCACAATCCACAGAAATCTAGGTCCTAAACATTCCCTAGAAACATGATCTGGGCAACTTTTTCTATTATGGAAAACAGAAGTCTCTTAACCGAAGCTATTCTTTGCTCTGCAATATTCTGGCTGTTTCATTTAGTCCAAATTGATCTTAAGTATAGAAATCCCTTAAAAAAGCATTTGATCAAAACAATATCAATTTCTATTTTGAAATAAATTATACCACTGAGCTCAGGTTGTAGTTCCTTCCCATTTTAATTGAAACTGGTAGCTGCTTTGCTCATGGTAATGATGATCATATAAAATTAGAATTGGAAGGAATCTTATAAATAATCCAATATTGCTGACCATCCAGCTCTTGAAAACCTGTAGCAGAACACCACTGTTCCAGACAGAATATTCAGCTGCTTAACATTTCTTACCATCAGGAAATTCCTCCAAATATTGAGCCTAATCTCTTTTTTAAAAAAAATCCAAACAGTTAAGTGTTTGTTCTATCTCCAATTTCCCCAGAAGGCTAATCTTTTCCATTTTTCACAGTCTTCTCTTTGGAAGCTAAACATGCCTATAAGTATTGTTTTCCATTCGCTTAAGTTTGCAGAGACTTTAATGTCCTGATAATTCCCCTTGCTTCAGCTTCTTCATGTCCTTTTCAAAACACAGTGGCCAGAATTGAACACAGTACTCCAAGTGCAGAGTACAAAGCAGTGGTGGGTTTCAAAATTTTTTACTACCGGTTCTGTGGTTGTGGCTTGGTAGGCGTGGCATGGCTTGGTGGGCGTGGCTTGGGCATGGCAGGGGAAGGATAATGTAAAATCTTCATTCCCATCCCACTCCAGGGAAGGATACTCTAAAATCTCCATTCCCTCTCCAATCCAGGGGAAGGATACTGCAAAATCCCCATTTCCTACCAATCAGCTATGACGTGGGAGGCAGAGAATAGAAGGGGGAGGGGCCAGTCAGAATTTTTACTACCGGTTCTTCGAACTACTCGAAATTTCTGCTACCGGTTCTCCAGAACTGGTCAGAACCTGCTGAAACCCACCTCTGGTACAAAGGTATCATTACAACCCACGATCTAAATTCAATGCTGCCAAAGATTGTACCAGTCATTTGAGCTGCTGCGTCATTGCTGGCTCATATACGGTTGGGAGGTCCACTAGGACCCCTAGACCTTCTCACATACACTGCCATCAAGCAGGTTCTCTTCAATCCTGTACCTCTGCATCTGAATTTTCCTACACAAATGAACAACTTGACATTTATCTTCACTGGATAGCTCTTAGATTTATCCCAATATTCAAGCCTTTTGAAATAATTTTGAATCATGATTTTGTTTTTTAAGGTGTTGGCTATTTCCCCTAGCTTGAAGTCATCTGCAAATTTACTATAATAATTTGCTTCTTGTTTATTTTTATTTTCTTATTTTTTTCATAGTCCATTATTGCTGAGTCACCTCTAAAGAAAATGGAGAGGCTGTTATTAACACAGCTGCCTGCAATTTCTGCAGGTTCGAATCTCACCAGGCTCAAGGTTGACTCAGCCTTCCATCCTTTCTAAGGTAGGTGAAATGAGGACCCAATTTGTGGGGGAAATAAGCTGACTTTGTATAAATATACAAAAGTATGAAGGCTATTGCTTAACACATTGTAAGCCGCCCTGAGTCTCCGAAGAAGGGCGGCATATAAATCAAATTAAAAAAAAAAAAAGATGTCACCATCTTGCTATCAAAAGCTTTTGAGTATTAAAATACTGAAAAACTATGTCTAGGTATTATAAATTCTGGACCAAAGCAAGCAGAAGTCTGGAATGTGCAACCTCTTTCTCGCCACATAATTAATTTCATCATTTTAAACATTTGCAGTCATTAATAGCACCGAAGTCCTGTCTCCAAAATTGCTGCAAACCTTTTTTTGCATCTCTTTAGCTTCTGAGATTTTACCAAGCTTGTCCACAAACTTGCATGTATTCTCAGCTTTGAGAACAAGTAAGAGATTGCTGGGCTTCAGGCCCAATGTTCAAGCCTTCCGAAATAATTTTGAATAGTGATTTTGTTCCTGAAAATGTTATCTATTACCCCTCCCATCCAGCTTGATGTCATATGCAAAAATGATATCATAATTTGCTCATTCTTTACTTTTATTTTATTATTTTTTTCATAGTCCATTAATATTGAGTCGCCTCTAAAGAAAAAAAAAACTAAAAACTTTCTGAATGGTGCATTTACTGAATGGTGAATGAATGGTGCATTTAACCAGTTCACAATTTTCTGAGCTCCCACAGAATTACATATAAATAGTGACTGAAGAGAACAGTGAATGACATATATTCCACATGGGAATTGAAAGAAAAGCAAAGAAGCAACAGTACCAAAGATGTTGGGAGTTCCAAAGACTCTTTTTAAAAAGAGGATTCTTGCTTACCCCGCAGGTTTTTGATGAAGTCATCCAGCTTCATCTTCCTCTCTGCTTTAACGCTGGGACTGTACATGTCCGTATTGAGAAGGATGATGGCAAAAGCCAAGATGAAGATGGTGTCAGGATTCCGAAACTGGCGCACCAATGGGGCATTGCATACACAGTAGCGCTGGCTGGAAGAAATGGGATTGAGGTTACAACAAAGAAGCAAACAATTCAAAGGGAAACAAATAACACACTTCTCAGTTCTCATGAACTGTACACTGAGTTCAAGACATATACGATAACACATCATGAAAAAAAATATTGGTGACAGACACTAGCTGAACCTCTAAATAAGTCTTTTAGCCATGAATCTGCAGGTAATATATAAATATATGGGCATATTAACCTATTTATCAGTTTTACCAGATAAAATCTATCTTTATAATGTTAATCAACTGAAAGTTTAGATCATGAATCTTTGGATTAATCTGATTAATACAACCTTACGAACTGATTCATGTGTCAATATATCCAAATATAATTGGTAATTTATTTATTAAATTTACATGCCGCCCATCTCACCATTTGGGAAAACTCTGAGTGGCTTATTCCTGCATTAATCTATTATTAACTCTTTCTTTAGTTGACAGACTTGGTTAATATTCAGAATACATTGTCTCAATATTGAAGCCATGGATCTCCCTCCAAACAGCAGGAGTAAATGAATAAATGAGTATTTTTGTATCTATAAATTAAAAAGTCTTTTTTCTGGACTAACCTGAACCAAAATGCAGTCCCTCAAGATTAACTTGTATATACAACCACAGGACATTGATGGAAGAAAATATTTTACTGAGGAAAATTCTAAATATTTCTCCCATTTTACAATAAATAAAATGCTGAACTCCCCACGCCTTATACATCAGTTCCAATTCCATATAATGCATTTTTATACTCTTTCTGTTGTATAAGGAGGCCCTTTAAAAAGAAACAAGGCTAAAAATAAACAGGAACAAAAATATAACAAATGAAACTGGATCTTATTCAGTATTTAAATTACCTGAGATTTTTCTTAATGAATTAAATAACTGTTTGCTCCTTGGTCTTTGATAATTTGCCTATGTGACTCCTCTCCTGCGCGAGCTGCATTGGCTTCCGGTGGACTTCCGGGTGCGCTTCAAGGTGTTGGTGATCACCTTTAAAGCACTCCATGGCTTAGGGCCGGGTACTTACGGGACCGTCTTCTGCCACCAATTGCCTCCCACCGGCCAGTTCACTCCCACAGAGAGGGCCTCCTCAGGGTGCCATCGGCCAGACAATGTCGGCTGGTGACCCCCAGGGGGAGAGCCTTCTCTGTGGTGGCACCTACCCTCTGGAACAATCTACCCCCAGAGATACGAGTGATCCCAGACCTCCAGACTTTTCGTCGGGCCCTTGAAACCTACCTCTTTCAGTTAGCCGGGCTGTCCTGATTTTATGATGGGGTTTTTAAAATTTGAAATTGGTTTTAAATTGAAATGTTTTAAATTATGGGCCAAATTATTTAATTATTTTAAATCTATTTTAACTTTTGTATATAAAGTGTTTTACTTGGCTGTTCACCGCCCTGAGTCCGAAAGGAAAAGGGTGGTTTAGAAATTTGAAAAATAAATAAATAAATAAATAAAAAATTATATTTTAGAGAATTCCACAATGCTTACGCAAGCAAAACAAAATCAAACGATATCATATCATGCTACAAGAAAAAACATTCCTAATCTCCAATAAAATGATACCGTCTAGATGATTTGATGGACAGGTGAAATCATACCTCCAAATATGGATATTTATCAGGCATACTCTTCAATTGGGACAGAATTGCCCAAATCAAACTACTATAAAGTCTGCAACTACTATAAAGTCTCCTTTTAATTTTGAGAATTCAAATATCATGCCAAACCATATATTTATCTTAATTATGGATTAGAATTATAATGGTTTAGAAATATAATGTCTGAACAATGTATATGTATTTATATTTATGTGTCGTACTATGTCTAGATTCATAATCATCTTTAAAGTCTTCAATAGCCAATCTAGAAGCATTTAAAGATTGTTCTTCCATGTATAATTGTTCCCTCCTACCTACTTTAATCTTAGAGTTCTAATGCTGAAACACCAGTGCCTAGTAAACCATGCAACCATTAGTTAGAAATGAATACTGACTATCTATGAGGTCAAGGAAAATGGAGATTACTAACAAACAGACATGTAACAGATAGTGCTTTTACATCTGCAGCAAAGCTCATTTTGATTTATCTTAACCCGGAATTCCAGAGTCACTTCAAAACCTGACTTCATATTTTCCACTGAGGAAGGAAATCCTAGTAATATTTTTAAAAGGCTAGATTTTGTAAAGATGTTTCACTAATTATGAATGCAAGGCAATTAAGACAAATGAGGAGGGAGGGACTGGTCCACAGAGAGGAAGCTCATATTGTCAAGGCTACTAGCAGTATTTAGGGAATTAAGCTCCATTTCTGAACATGATTTCCCATGTCCAATTCTCTTGATCTCTGCTTCTTAAAGTAAGTTTTCCAGTCCTGTAATTATTTCATAAAAGTGCAGCTGGTGATAGCAAAAGAAATAAGGCATTCTATGGTGTTCTTAAAGACTACGTTTTGCACCTTAAACTTGAGAAATTACTTCATTTGTTCAAGATGAATGGCTGGAACTCTTATCACACACTGGCCTGTGGTGCATTGTCTTTCTCTACAATGGAAAAAGACTGCATTTTCTTTTAATGTGAGCATCCTTTTAGTGTGGGAGAGGATGGCTTTGTCAGGCTCATACATTCCCATTCTACTCTGGTAGATGGACTTGGTGGATGAGACTGATGCTGGTGGACACAGGCAGACAGACAGACAGATTAGACACACTGCAACATGTTTTATACACTGTGGAAATGAGTCTGCACACCTAAGAGACTTGCTCCAATGTTTTACTGTCTCTAAAACCTATGCACAAGAATCAATACACAAATATTCCCTTTCATTAGCAAACCATCATCTTTAGCCAGCCTGATATTGCAGAGAGCCAATTAGCAGAATATACCAACAGGCTAGTATAACGTCAACAGGAAATCCTACAGGAATCATAGCTGAAAAGTGAAATTTTATCCAAGGTATTGGAATTACAACTTCCACTAATCATATTCAGCATCATGAATATTTGCTAGGTAGGATAAATGACTAAACATACATGATGAGAAGGCTCTCCCAGGGGGAGAGCCTTCTCTATGGGAGCACCCGCCATCTGGAACGAGCTCCCCCCGGAGATATGGAGGATCCTGGACCTGCGCGCTTTCCGCCGTGCCATCAAAACATTTCTTTTCCAGCAGGCCAGCTTGGCCTAACCTCTCTTTTAAACTGTTTTTTAATTTTTTTTAAATTTTAAATTTGTCGTATGAATTTGGGGTGTTTTAAATTTTGTTTTCCGGGCCAATTATTTAATTGTATTTTAATGGTTTTTTAACATTTGTATTATATATATATTATTTGGCTGTTCACCGCCCTGAGTCCTTCGGGAGTAGGGCGGTATACAAATTCAATAAATAATAATAATAATCATCATATGCAAGCAATATAAATTAGGTAGTTGCATCAGACATTGGGACACATAATCATGGCATTTACATGATTTACATGATCACATGTGCTATCTTGAGGATATGATTTGTTGCAGACGCTGCTGTCCAGCATGGAAGTGTGCAATACAAAGTTAGCAGGGATTCTGGCACAGAGCTATATGTTTCTATTGCCTGTGGCCTGTTTTCTAGACTAATCTCCCATACTTCCAAATGCTAAAGGAAACTGTAGGAAAATAGTTCCACCTTCAACATACCTGAAGGCCTCAATGAGACGCTCCACCTTCTGGGCCTCACCTTGCACCCGTATGTGTGACTGGAACTTTCTCAGGGCATCATCCAGGTCCATGCTGGAGAAGTCCATCTCATCTACAACACAACTATGAAGCAGAAAAATACAGGGAAGGAAAAGAGACATATTGGTTCAGTATGAATAAGGTGGAGACTGTGAGCTCTAATCCCACTTTAGACACAAAATGAGCTGGGTGACCTTGAGCTAGTCACTCTCTCAGCCCTAGGAAGGAGGCAATGGAACACCCCTTCCAAAAACCCTTGCCAAGAAAACTGTAGGGACTTGTCCAGGCAGTCACCATGTGTCTACAATGCTTTGAAGGCACGCATACACAAATGTATAAGAATACTCCTTCTTCTGTCCATCTTCATTTTCAAGCCCATATATTTCCTTTAAAATGCTCACATAAACAGTAAGGCCTAATTTGGAGAAACTCTTAGAAATCCCGTCACAATTTTTAAGAGCAGATGTAAGAAAGAAAATAATGGATCACTTTATTTAACTATTTTTCTCAGCACAAAATGCACTGCATCCCAACTTAGTAGCTGAGTCTTCTAGAGATCATTTAGAAAGATACATTCCGCAATTTCCCCAAGCTTGGGGGAATACAGTAGGAATTCAGACTTCTTTGATGATGTTTGAATGGTTGCTTTCTTGTAAAATTTGTTCATTTCTCTCTTCCAACAAACATCTTTTTAAAATATCTAAGAATCAGCAATATGTCTCCTTTTCTAAAAGCCAATTTTTAATCTAATCTAAAGTCATTTTCTACAAATGTTCTCTTGTCTTCAATAGAATAATATATTTTATTTATATAGTATTTCTTCTAAATATTCAAAAGACAGGACATGGCTGGATTTAATTGTAAGTTGGCTGACAAATGAGCAAGATATTTGAGTTCATACATAATGCTAAACCAGTAACAATGGCTACAAAGCCACAATCACATACTGCGCAAAGCCAAGATGGAAGAAACCACATCTTGATTTAGTCCAATGTATTAATCCATGTAACACAAACCTGTAACATGAATTACTACTATGAACGCCATACTATATGGTGGGTGGAGCTTCTCTAAGGTAAGATCTGAATTAGAAGGCTACCCTCTAGTAATTCATCTTTTTAATCCATGAATTCCCAAGTCTGGGCTCCCATTCAATCCCGGAGGTCACTGCATGGCTTTCGGTCACCTTGGGGGGGCTGTTTTGTGGAGATAAAATAAGGCGAGAATCCCAAATAAACCACCATGGTCTCCTAGAGGAAAGTTACAACATAAATGCAATGAACAGAGTATATATATATATATATATAAAATAGACACAAGTCCACTCTTTGCATTCTCCTATAAACATTAAAAACAAGTTATAGCTTTAAATAAAACTTAGGGGTAGGGTGGCATTTATCAATTATGACAATGGAAAGGAAAAATGTATAGATCTCCTTACTCGAGTACATCTCGGTTGAATTGTTTCTGCCGGTTACCAAGAAATTCTCCAATCATCTGCCGGCTCAGCCCCTTCCGCTCCAGGATAAACCGGGCCACGCCCACCGGTGTATCCGACAAGAAGCCTCTCTCAATTAAATACTGGATCCCCTTTTCTGGTTTCCTGCCAATGGGATGAGAAGAAGCCTGTATTCATGCTTGCCTGAAATTGCTTTTGTCCCAAACCCATTTTCCTCTTACCTCTTTTATTAGAGAAGAAACATTGGCCCTTTTCCAAATAAGCCTCTGTTTCCAAAAAAGCACTCTAACTTTGTCTCTTCTGTATATTAGAATTCTAGATATTCATTATGAAAGTATCCTGAATGCCCAGCCTAATATAGTTTTGTGTCATTTATCTGGGAGAATAAGAAAGCTAATGGAAGCGCCCTTAGTTAAGCAATGTTTAGTTATATTTATTGCAGTTTGCTAAACATTATAGACAGTTAATGAGTTTTCGTTCATTTTGATCCCTTCCCTGAAGTCCATCGGTCACATTATGACCGAACTAAATTTAAAATGTGATAAAGTAGAATCAGATATTCCTCCTTTAAAGCAGCAACAAAGCAGAAAGGCCCACCAAGCTGACATATGAAGTTTCATTGCCATAGTTGGCAACACATTAATGAGCCCTCAGGTGTGCTTATTTATACAAGGTATAACTGGGGAGAAGATGTAGGTGAGCTGGGAACTAAGTCATCCCATTTACACCTAGTGCCTTCCAGATGCTGCTGCTAGCCAGGTGGTTGGAGAAGATGGGATCTAAAATCCAGAATATATGGAGGTCACCAAGTTGCCTCCACTGACTTGGGTCAAAGAGAAGAATGTTAATATTTCAAATAAATGGACTGTTCAGATAGCTAGATAGATAGGCTAATGATATTTAGTATAATTAATGATGTCACTTGAGAAAGTAGGGCCATTCTTTAACCCCCCCTTTTCTACTTGGGGTGAGAGACTGGTTTTCTAAAGCCTTAAATAGTAAGGAAGGAAGGATTATAAGGCTTTTTGCCATTTGCCACTGAATATTCACAGTGTGATCCTATAGAAAATGGGAGAGGGAGGCTTGGAAAAAATGGAATAGCGGTGGGGGGGGAGTTGTTCATCCTTGCTTTAGAGAAATGGTGATCTGATATCTGGAAACTTCAGTAACTTAGCTGATGAGGACCACTGAAGGCCTCAGGAGGCAGAAACATTCAATATCTTTTTAAAATCTATTCTTTCCGAAGTCTTTTCTGCCACCTACTTAGCACCCTTACAGCCACAAGATGTCAGCAACACCCTTTTCAAAACACATGCTTGAGATTTTTGAAAAGAGGTGGGGAGGGGGAATTTCTGGATCCGGAAGAAATTAAGTGGAAAGCAGTTAAGCACCACCAAGCCATATCTTACCAAATTCCTTATCTGATTGCCCAGAACGTAATATTTTAAGGGACAAAAATGAGGCATTAAATTAAAGGTGTTCTAGGGATTGCAAATCCCACTCGATGCTGTTAAGCACTAGGACTCCAAAACCGAGAACATAATTCTCTGAGCTGAAAGAGGTAGCAACAGGAGGCAGTGAGCTTAGACTTGTGGGCATGAGCAGCTTTTGCTCATGATTACCGGTTTTAGAGCAGAGAACTTCCTTACAGACCGTTGTCCACATCTATTAATCTGTGTATAAGTCTTGGGGAGGTTTAGATTTCCTGCCTTTGGTACCAAACAGCCCTATCATGGACCAGATTAATTCCTCAATTTGCCAGATTGAAGGATGCACACAGAAATAAATGCTCAAGGATCGCCTCCAGGAGGAAGGGCACAGAGATCTCCTACCCTGGCACATTGCCCCAGGCTTCAATGTGAGTCATGATCCCAGCTGGTTAATATGATGTGACGGCTGCTTCCCAGCCCCCAAGAGCCTGCTTCCTGCCAGTGAAAAAGATGCTGTCTGGCTCAGGAGAAATTAAAGCTCTAAGAACCGGAAGAAGCGAAAACCTAAGCCTTCCGCCATCTCTTTTGCTTTGGCCTAAAGACTTGATAGACACCATAGGGAGCAACCGCCCAAATGGAGTAGCTGGAAAAAAAGTCAAGTCAAAGCAAAAGGGGCACAGAAAGGTATTAGGTGAGGTCTTCACCTTCAGACTGGCAATGGTCCTGTCCTTTAAAAAAATACTTTCCCATAATCATTTATTTCATGCCATCAGGCTGGAAAAGTTTCATGTGCTTAGGTTTGGCACATCAAGCGCAGGACCACAGCCTGTGTGTGTGGGTTTTTGTTTTTTTTGTTTTTTTTAAGGTAGTGGTAGAAATGGGTAAAGAGGAGCTATATACTCTATTTAGTATTAAGATCTCATGTTTCAAAATTTGGGGACAAGAGAAACTAACTCCCAACTATGCTGAGAAGGAAAGGGAATCAAATTTTTGGAAACCAGAATTTCAATTAAAATCCAATTGCTAAAATAACCCTCCTTCAGATTGTCTACTGGGTGTCTCCAGGAAAGCCTTCAGAAATAGAAGGCTGCATGTGTGAAGAATAAAAATTGTTGCCCAACATATACTGTGGACAACATGTTTTCAAGGACTGTCATAAAATATCCAAATTTTACCAGCAGAAGTCCTTTTATAATGTGACCTGTTTATTTCTTGTAGGCCATATTTCATCCAGAAGATGCCCAGACCACTAAATTCGGCTCCTTGTGTGTTACTCAATCACTACATTGGTAGTCCAGGCTATACAAAGAACACATTCTTCCCCATATTGCCTATATTTTGGAGAGCAGTTTGGATGCTACAATAGGCAGAAGGACTTCGGTCAAATGGCCTTACTAAAAAGAGAATGCCATAACAATTCTACATGGCATTTGGACATGGGGATATACCCAATGCATCCTTGGAGGTAAAGACTGGGCTCGCACCAGGGAGATCCAAATTCAAGTCTCCCCTTGACCCTTGAGCCCACTGGCCAGTCATTCTTTTTCATTCCAATCTAACCCACAGGAGATGAAATTAGCCATATGTACAGCATATCGCTTGGAGCCCTCAGAGAAAAAATAAGAGATATAAGTAGCAAAAAAAGTGAAAAAAACACTCAAAGCTGACCCTTCACCTCTGTCGTCAAGTCAAGAAACCACTCACTATCATCCCACCCACCCCACATGCTAAATCCAGCTGGATTTCTAAGGCCTGTAAAGCCAGACCAGCCCTGGAGCCTAACCCAGCCTTCTGCTGAACATGCTAATCCACTGTTTTCCCCATGGCACTCTGACCACACCAGTCATACTTGTTGAAAAGGTTGAGGCCGATGCGGTACTGGCGGCGCTGCACCACGTCGTTGTTGAAAGCAGGAGAATCCCAGCTGTGCCGCGTCTCACGCTGGTAGGTCTGCTTGCAGGGGCCCCCGACAGTCGTGGTGGTTGTTGGGGCAGGTGGAGGTGGGTCGCGCAGGCTGTCCCGTGAGGAGGATCCTGAGCTGCAGTTGATGGTCTCGTTGGAGTTGGTGGTGCTGTTGAGGCTGTCGTTGTCGCCATCCGAGTTGTCCGGCGGAGGAGGCGGAGGCAGGCGGCCTGGGGCCTGAGGGGGTGGGATGGGCAAAGGTGGAGGAGGCTGGCTTTTCTCAGGATGATAATGGCGGTGTGGGTGTGGGGAGCGTGCAGGCCCTCCAGGATGTTTGAGGGTGCCATGGGGACTGCAGCCATCTTGCTCATACATGAGCCCCCGACTGACTGAACCCCGATCAGAACGGTCGCTCAGATCCACTGAGCTGTCACTGGGAGGCTCAATTGTGAGCAAGGGCAGGTGAGCGCCCCGAAGGCGGTAGTCCCGGCATTCCATGCAAGGTGTGCTGCGCCGGCTCCCGCCCCCATTCTCCCGACTGTCCTCCCGCTGGGGCGCCCCCCAGTACTCCGGCCGTGGGGCTGGTGGGAGGGGCACCCCCGGAGCAGGCTCTGGGGGCTCAGTGCTGGGAGGACGCTCCAGAGAGAGGGGTGACGTGGGAGCGCCTTCGTCCAGATAGAGTGTGACATCACTGAATGAAGTGGCAGCACTGTCACCCTGCTGCTCCTTGGATTCACTTTTTTCCAAAGTGGGGCCACCAGGTCCTCCCTCCTGGCCAAGTGGGTGGCAGTTTAAGGCTTCATCAATCGATTCTGCCAAGGACTTCACCTATGGAGAGGCAGAGAAAGAGGTCAGCCAGGGCAGATTCTCTTTGGCACTATAATGGTGCAGGGGAAGACTTGGGAGACAGGAGGAAGAGCCACAGACTGGACAAGAGTCAGATAAGACACAGCTGAGTTTGCAGAAGGAATGTGGACATAGCAAATGTCTCAGAAGGCACCCTCCCTAATTTCTTTCGCTATAAAAGCAAGTGGGGGGGGGAGGAACATACTTTCAGATTTGCAAGATTCTGTTAACCTTACCATAAAGTTAGAACTAACACTTTGGGGTGTGCTTCTTAACTGGACTACCTTCCAAGGCTGACAAGGGCTTAATACATATTGTGAGAAAGAAACAGGGAAAAATAATCCTCTACTAATTAAATCAATCCTGTACCTTATTTTAATTAATGAACTCCCATTTGAATAATCTTTTATGAAACATATGGTACTGCAACAGTGAGAAGACAAGTAAGTTATCAAATCAGAATGCAGAATTGTTATAGTATCAAACTCATTATAGTATCGATGTACCAAAATGAAATCTGCGAACACAAGTGATCCAAAGAATGATTTATAGGCAAGATGCAGTTAATAGTTTTATTCACACTAAAATCCTTCAGTACTGCTGTGAAATTGTTTTTCTTCCATTAACTGGGGAAAAAAATCAAAACAGGATTCCATACAAGGTTTTCATATAACCTATCCTATTTGCAAGGACTTCTTCTGATAATGTTATTTGGGGAGGTGGGGGGAGTCATCTGCAATGCAATGTCTACTAGTGTTGTTGTGAGTAAGTCTGGGAAACAGAATGGCAAACGAAGAGAAAGAAGCTAATGTGGAGCCCTTTAAAGTTTCATTGCATAATAAGATGAAGTGAGAATGGAAATATTTTCCATTCAGATATTCAAAAACACAAAAGGTACCTGTGAAGTTACCTGATCTTACTTATTTGGTACACAGTGTTTCAGGCTTGAGAACAGTGTACGACTCGGAGTGAGTAGAGACTGCTTGCAGATCAGTAGGTTAACATAAAATAGTCGTTATGCATTATAAATCCCCTTTGCTGGGAAAATATCAGGCCCCATTATCATCTCTTTCTTGTCTTGTCAGAAATGTCCATCGTGTTACTTATTTGCCAAGGCTAAAGATCAATGCTTTTTCTGTGCCAAGGAATACCTAGATGCACTTGCACTGATATTAAGCCTACTTTGTCTTGGCTGCAAAACCCAGACAACCCCTGGATATAACTCTTCCTTCCCATTTAATACCGTGTTTCCCCGAAAAGAAGACCCTGACTTATATTTTTTTGAACCCTGAAATAAGAGCTTGGCCTTATTTTCGAGGAGGTCTTATTATTTTGGGCCACGTGGAGCAAGACGGGGCTTAATCTTACCCGATTTCCAGCTCTGTCTCCCTAACCCTAACCAGAGGAAATGGCGGGGACTGGATGCACATGCGGTTAAAAATTATTGGGGAGGGTTTATTATCCAGGGAGGTCTTATTTTCGGGAAAACACTGTAGTCAACTGGGTTTCTGCAACCAAATATGGTACAAAAAGCCCTGGGTGCCCTTGGCAGAGTATGAAGAGGTAACATGGTGAAAACAGCAGAAACAAATACAAATGGTAATAAAAGGAACTCAGATTATTAACTGCTCTATAAAGATAATTTTAATAACATCAAAGTGTGTTAATTGTTTGATGCTGAACTTGGTTGGTTATCCCTGTACCTTTGCACACCACAACAGAAATACGGTGTGGAGTATGTACTATATATGAATTAGTTGTGGTTCCTAGGAGGAGTCAGTAAAATAGAATTTCAGAGTAGAGGTGAAATTCCAACAAGGGATTTGCTAAGTCATGACCCATTTTTCGTAGCTTGTCTCTGTATATACTAAACAATTATTCCTGCTGCTAATAAGAGGGATAAACATTGCGGCTAAGCATTATGATTGTAACATTTTCAACCAACAAACCAGGGAGCCTTGGCATTGTGCTCATTAGTTTTCCAACTTTTTTTCCATTTTTTTTTTCTTTGAAAGAGGCTTAAAGTAAAAAAAAAACACTACAACTGAAAACTCAAGTAATATCAAGGCAAAAATCAAGCATGCTTCAGTTTACAATGCAATCCCAAATGGGATTATCTTTTCTAAAACAGCTCATCCTGATTAGGGGCAGAAGATTTGTGAGGACACAAGCTTCCCTTTGCTTGCCCTGTGGGGTTATAAGCAAATGAATTCTAGCTGCTTTGCCTGGGTGGGTTAGTGGGGAGATGTGGGTGAAGTGGAGCTGCAAAAACAAATGAAAATATTGGCTTCTGTCAGCTTCAACTGAGCCTACTTTGAAGTGGAAACTTGGACCATGATGAAATACAGCAGCTTTGTCCATCCTCTGCTTCTCTTCTATGTAGATGAAACAAAGCTTAGATGCAGCATATGGAAAAGGTCCTTCTGGCTAGAAATGAGACCCACAGACTGGAGGTCCCCATCTATGCATTGGCTTAGCTCAGGGACAGCAGAAGATACTTTGATACTGTGTTTCCCCAAAAATAAGACCGGGTCTTATTTTCTTTTGACCCCCGAAAAAATGGCTAGGACTTCTTTTTGGGTGGATCTAATTATTTGATTCACCTTGGGTCAGCTGCACAGACAGCCCTGCCCAGCAGGAGCCCGCTGCTGACCCACTTCTTCTGTGGCCGCTTGCTGTTGCTGGCACGCGTTGCCCCTGGCATGCGTCGCCCCTGGCCTCCCTTTTGCCATCAGAGCCTTCTAGAAAGCCCTCTGCAGCTGAGAAACGGGCTCCGGATTGGCGCACGCAGCGCCCCCTGGCTTCCATTTCACCTTCAGATGCCTTCTGGAAAGTCCTCTGCAGCCAATAACAGAGGTCTGGATTGATTGTTATGCAGAGGGCAACTGAAGGTGAAATAGAAGCCAGGGACAATGCGTGCCAGCGGTGGCAAGCAGCCACAGAAGAAATAGGCTGCAGAAGAAGTGGGCCGCAGAAGACGGTGAGGCAGGTGTCCGGGTCTGTGAGGCCTGGTAAGTAGGGCAACTCCACCCCCCCATCCACCCCCAGCTTAATTTTTACCTTGCCCCACCCCCTGTGGGTGGGGTCTTAATTAGGGCTAATTTGGGAGGTAGGGCTTAATTTGAGTGCATGCGTTCAAAAACATGATAGGGCTTCTTTTCAGGGTGGGTCTTATTTTAGGGGAAACACAGTAGCAGAGAAACAATGAGGTTTTTGGAAGGGTTGAAGAAGCATCAGGGGTTATAATCAAGCTGGAGAACACAAAAAGGGCAAAGGTGCTTTCTTTCAGAGTCTCAAGGAAAGCTACCTGGAAATGTGAAGTTTGGGCCTTACCTGCTTGGAGAAGGAATCCTCCAGCTCCGTGATGTCATTGCAGAAGCCTCCAGAAGAGGAATGCAGGGAACTACCATCCAAGCCGGTCCGGCAAGAACCACTGTAGGGAAGCCCGTGATCCAGGAGATGAGGTCGAGCACTAGCCATGGAGCCCTCATCCAGAGAGGCAGGTTTACCTTCAAAGTAAGGGGCATTCTGGGTCTTGTCATATTCTTCAAACGAATATTGCATCCGCATGTTGGACAGTATGATGCGCCGTGACATACGGCTCTCTGATGCCGAACTTCTTAGACGCTCAAACTTTTTGTTCATGCGGTATTGGCGAAAGGCTGTTTGAATTGTACGAGCTGCCCGCCGGCTCAAGAAATAGCCCCCATACTTCCGCTCCAGCATCTCCACCTATGATGGGCATCAATAGAGAGGAGGGATTTGGAAAAGACAAGAGGGAGATGAGTGAGGAGAATAGGAAAATCGAAACATGAAGCTAAGAACAAACCGATCACTCAAAAAAACAGTAGGTTCTGAGCAAGATATCACACTGGGTTTTCTCAGAGCAAAAGGAACCACAGGATATTGTCAATTTCCTGAAGAAATTGAAGAAGCTTCTTGGATGAAAAGAGAAACATCTTCAAAGAAAAACCAGAAAGTCCAGTTGCTTCTGGAAAAAACACCTTTGGGTCAGCCTTGGTAACTTTAAGATGTCTGGGCTTCAACTTGCTGGCTAGGGAATTCTAGGAGTTGGAAGTCCAGACATTTTGAGGTTGCCAAAGTTGAGAAGCATCGACCTACAGACCCTTCAGGTACAAAGCATATGCTCTAGTATTAAGCACTCTCTCTTACGGCTTCCGTCTTTGCCTTGGATCTTTCAATCTTTTAAAGGGCTTTTGTGGGACCAAGTTTTCCTATTTCATAGATAGTTCCCACACTGGCTCAATCTACAAAACCTTTTACTGCAGCCTTTAGACCAATCAGGTCCATAACTCCCAAAAATGCCCACAATAATGCTGGCTCATTGGACTTCAAGCAAGCCACAGGATCTTATTCCTGCATATCAGGAACCCCAGAAGTAAGGGGAGCTCTCATAGCTCAGCACAATCTACGACCAGGTACCTTTTTGTCCTGAAGATCCGTTGAGAGCTCATAGCTGTCGGATAGTGCTGATCGTTTGCTATCCTCCTCTTCCTGCTTCCTCAGCGCCACGCTGGCTGGCTGTAGCCGAGCTCGCTGGGCCCACGGAAGCCCTGGTGATGGAGCGTGACAGACAGAAGAGGAGGAAGATGGCACTAAATCATAGTGCTCAACCTTGGTCACTTCAGGGATGCATCGGTATGGTTGACTGCCCAGACTGTCCACTATGGTTCCTGCCTCGCTTCCCGGAGGGTCTCCTTCCACACTGCAAGAAAGAGAAAAAAAGCTAAATGAATGTTTTTAAAAAAGGTTTTTAAAAAATCATAGAGTTTAAGTATGTACCAACACCATTTTGAACTCAGAACACTCCTCATAATGCTTGAAACCAGCCATTTTGCATTTGCAAGCAGTCACTTTCTTCTCAGAATGGTGGTTTCATGAAACATTTTCCACTTCCTTAGCACCGATACTGTACTTTTATACTATTTATTGTACCTTTATGTCATATTATAGACTGGCCAATTTAGCCATGGAGAACTACAATTACTCTTTTGCACAAATTCTTTCATTGAATGAATCTCCTGATTCTTCACAAGTCCCTACTACAGGTAGTCCTTACTTACTGACTGCCTTATTCGCCGTTCAAAGTTATGATGAGGCTGAAAAAGTAGGCTTACAGTCAGTCTCAAAATTTGCAATATTCCAAAAAATCAAGTGGTCTGGGACAGTGGTGAAATTCAATTTTTTTTACTACCAGTTCTGTAGGCATGGCTTGGTGGGCGTAGCTTGGTGGGCGTGGTAGGGGAAATATACTGCAAAGTCTCCATTCCCACCCCACTCCAGGGGAAGGATAATGCAAAATCTCCATTCCCACCCCATTCAAGGGAAAGGATATTGCAAAATCCCAGCACAATTTGTGCTGAAATAAGTAAATTGACATTTGAAATAAGAGAACAGGAAGATAAACAATATTATTTGATATGGGATTTATTTTATCAATGGATGGACAATAAAATATGGAGATAAATATATAATATGTGGATGTTGAGGTAAATTAAGTGGAATATTTTTTGTGAAAATAAGTTTTGGATGTATAGTGATATTTTGAAGAGAACAGGGAGCACAAAAGAATGTTAACCGATCGATACACTGTCTGTAATTATTTGGAATGATGATGTTTTTATGTTTTATTTTTGGTTTAAAATAAAAAAAGTGATTTGAAAAAAAAAAGGGGGGGGGAAGGATATTGCAAAATCCCCATTCCCACTTCTGGGGCCAGCCAGAGGTGGTATTTGCCAGTTCTCCGAACTACTCGAAATTTCTACTACCGGTTCTCCAGAACTTGTCAGAACCTGCTGAATTTCACCCCTGGTCTGGGAGCTTGGGTCATTAAGCACAGCATCCTGTGATTAGTATTTATGACCTTCACTGCCAGCTTCCAACAAATAAAGTCAGTGAGGAAGTCAACAGGAAGTAATGTTACGGTCACATGATGTTGTGCTTAATGATATGTGGTGCTTCAGTTAATGACAGCAGAACAGATGTTCTAAATCCAGCATAGTCACAAGTTTCACTTAGTGACAACATTGCTTAGCAATGGATCTGTCAGTCCCAATTGTGATCAGTAAGTGAGGACTGCCTGTAATCACAATAATTCTGGATTAACTCTTTCCCAGCAACAGTTTGTTATCATTCTCTTGACCTAAGAAATAGACCCTGAAGCTTCCATTAGCCCCATTTGGAAAGCAAGTACTTCCTGAATGTAGAACAGGAGATGGAGGTGGGAGAGGCTGATAAATCAGAGGAATAACATGAAGGTAAGGGTTAAACCTTGATCTAATCAACTCCAACTGTTTTGCATCTGTTTGTTTTTTTTAGGAGAAGCAATTCCTTGTGCCCTATAAAACCCTTACTGGGATGTTCCTTGTTTCTCTCAGCCCATGTCAGCTTGCCTGGGTTCTTTCTAATGCTATCTCCAAAGACTACTCTGCCTCCTTTCCATCAGAATGGAACTTTTGTAAAATAGAAAATTTCAGGAGAGTTGCAAGTGGATGACAATATGAATTCTATCCAATGCATTCACATCAGCTGTGTCCATCAAATAACATATGCAGCAACATCACACTGCGAACTCTACTTCTTTTGTAGTGTGTCATGACATCACATGCATATACATTGAGAAGCAGAACTTATGACATCATGGAAGAACATTTCATCATTTCTATGCAAACTCTGGATTTATCTGGATATCTCTGAATGCACCAAGAGGGAACCAGTTGGAGAAGGCTGCTCTGTTCAACTTTTGCATCATAATTTTGACTTAAACAAGTCCAGACTCCCCTGAACAGATGCCTTCTTAAGCCCAGTAAGCATGAATGTACACATCTGGTTTAGATAACTATACCTGGTCTAATAAATTCAATTATACCTTTCTAAAACTTCGCAGCTTGAAATCCACAAAGACAAACAAAGCTCCCTTGGCATGTTTGTAAATAAAATACTTACATTAGTGCCAAAGGAACTCTGGGCAAGATGGTTGCCAAGGACAACCAGTTATCTGGCAAGGGATGAATTCTGACAGGATGTGAATGTGAAATGTGGAGTTTCCTGCATGCAGAGGTCCAGAGAGACCTAGACATAGCACTGGGTATTTGCTAACATTCTCATTTTCTAGTCTCAGGCAAACTTTCAAAAGCAAATGACAGAGGCTGAGCTTTTACTGCCATGGAAAACTAATAGATTACAAGTTATTAAGGCCTGCTTCAGGTTTACCAAACCAAGAAGAGATACTCACTTCATTGGGTAGGAGAAAATTACACTAGAATCACACCCATCCCTGACTGTATCTTTGCCCACCACCCAAATGCATTCTCTCATCATCATCATCATCATCATCATCATCACCATCATCCATAAGGAAGGCAACTCTCAATAGGAAAAATGTTCCTTAACATTCCTAACAGTCACATATGCAAGATGGGCAGTTGCACAAACTAAATAAACCAATATATTCTACAAAATATCAGTGATGGCTGTGTCCCACAGGTGTATCTATTGGTGGCCAAATAATCTGGTTTGCCATTCCTAGAGGATGGTGGTTTTTTTTTTTTTTGTATTTCCATTAAATTTATTAACAACCATAAAAAGAAGGAATAAATTTGTTAGCCATTGTCAGAACATACAATTGGACTAGATAGGTCAGAGGACTGATCCAGGAATCTCCAGGAGATTGAATAAATTCTTGTTCTTAAAAAGTAAAATATAGATAAAAAGGAATTTTAAAATGTGGAGGTTATAGTTTTCCAGTACATCATAAATTAGCTGTAAATAACTGATCATACCAAATCACTATTAAATTAAGTTCTAAGACAAAAATTAATACCAACAACCATGATCAAAGCAGTGTAATTTACCAAGTAAATTATAAATTATAATTTTATAGTTCATAAAATTCAATCCATATTACTAAGAGTTTGTTCTGATTTAAATAAACTTGTAAAACTGAATTATAGGTCATATACATAGAGAAACTTACATTTTGGATGTGGTGCAAATCCCTAAATTAAGTTGTAGTTTAGGAATGGTTTTTAGTTGAGTTGAATTCCATGTCAGATTTACAAAGTTATAGTCATCCCACAGCTTTGGTTAGCCATTCTTCCACGGAGGGGATCAAATATCCTTTTCAGTAAAAAGCTTATAATATCCTTGTTATAGTTAGCATTTACAGAGATAATTCAGTAAAATTACTTTGAAAGAATATATGTCTTAGTAAAGTTTAGTCAGAATATTGCAAGTTGAAATGGAAATTGAACTTTGTTTTTTATGCTCTTCCCACCTTCTAGAAGAATGGTCAAAGGCCAAAGTCTACGTTGTTTTTCATTCTAACTGATGCACAATAAAAGGAGTGTAAGCAATTCTACTTTGCCATGAAAGTTGCACCTGCTGATATCCCTAATTCTTCATAACAATTATACAGCCAGTGAAAAATCCTTATCCTTTCTTTTCCCTTTTGCAAATTCATTTTATTTCTAAATGCTCTTGAAAAGCTGAGTTCTTCTGGTTAGAATTATAGTATTGGCACTTTATCCTCATTGGACTAAAGTGCTTTTTCTACTTTCAGTCCAACAATACCTAGATTCTCCTATGCAGATCTTTCAGAAAATATATGAGAGTATATTGTGAAGGACTTCCACTATGCTTTTTCTCAGATTGAGATGATGGCCAGTAGAGGCCCTGGACAGGACATATTGTTGGGGTAGATTCAGCCAACTGAATTAGATGTCTGTATCATTCCTCTACTTTCCAATCTATCAATCTTAACAATATCTAAAATAGATCATTCAAAGAAGCTGTCTTTACTAGCCACAATATAATGCCTCTTTCTCTGTTTATTTTTGTGTGGTATGTTCATATATGCTTTTCCTGGTCTGGTCTGAATATCTAAGCCCTGAATATAGATTGGCTTCTACTCAAACTATTTATTGCAGCTTTACCAGCACTACAGGTATGAGATTCCGGGGAAGGCTGACTTATTTAAAAAAAAAGTTATTTAGCAACCAACTGCATAAGCACATGCAGTAACTTTCCTGGTCAGAAACACCTAGAACCTTCTAATCATTCATAGCACTTCCAAGTCACCAAAGGATGCAGTACAATAGACAAGTGGTCTGTTATATGTCTAACACGTGTTTGCAATTTTAAGCAGGGAGGCCGGCAGGCTGAAGCAATTCTAGAGATCTTCTTGTGCCAGTATACAGAGTCAAGGGATAGTATTCTACACAGCAAACCACAAGTGGTCTAAAGCTTGATCTAATATGATCCTTTAACAGTCAACCTCAGGTGGTGACATGAGTACTCTCACAGGAGTCCATTTTATTTAACAATATGGTTTACAAAATGAAAGTGATGAAAAACTGCCATTAAAATAGTAGTGCTGAAAAGAACTGGACTAAGAAAACACTTTAGCACAAGGATGCAAAGTTGGTTGATTCTTTACATCACTGCCCAAATAGTTCCACAATGCTTTAGCAGACAGGTTAAAGGAAAGGAGGCTCCATGAACCTTTCTTACGAGGCCTGTAGCATTAGAGGCCTGTAGCATTAGAACTGCAAGAGTAAAGCAAACTTGCTGGCTGCTCTCACAGGAATCAATGTACCTGCAATTTTGGGGAATTAAAGCTCCTAAAGGCTCAAAATATTCAATACCAGCATTTCGAATTAGAGACAAAGCACTGCACTGCCTCAAAACGGTTATTAGTTGACACTG